GTCTTATAATTATATAAATATGTGGATATATGAATACAAATTATTTCTCTGTCTCTAGTCATTCACTCATAGAAGATTAGTCTAGTTCTCTTTGTAGATCAGTATTATTATAATTTTTGGATCCGACGATAGTGTGGCTGTAGATCAAATAAAAACTTTCAAAATGACATCGAAAGGTACATGTCGTAAAATTAATCTATTATTATTTGATTTCAAGTTTTGACATTAAAATCTTTCACATAATAATAATATAAGGATGGTTTTTATGCTTACACCTCTTATCGAAAATTATATATACATGAGGTACTAGATTTTTTTTTTATTTTTTTATCATTTAAAAGTCTTTCCATAGTAGGATTTCTTTTTAATCGCATCAAAACATGAAGGTTATTTATGGATCCAAGTTAATGATGAATTTAATGTTCTAGAGAAAATAAATTAAGAAAATATGGACTCATACAAGGTATGGGAAGATTTGGTAAATCTCCTTTATGACATATATGATTTGTTGTTACTATTTACAATCATATTAATCATATTAAGAGAGAGAATTGGACATGGAGAGAAAGACAAGTAACTTCATCCTTTTTTTACCTCCTCTATTCTTTCATATAAATAAGAGAGGATAGGCAGACTGACGTACTTCCAGGGTTCTTTTTTGATGATCTATCCGAAGGTTCCTTTTGATCATGCCCGTAGATCCAGTAAAATTTATATGACTTTTATAATTTTTTTCATGTTTATTTTGATTTCTTAATTTGATTATTTAAATTTTTTATAATTTTTAATCAGATACTAGTTTCTCGCTGTCGATAAATCATCAAAAGCATTCCTCATATATTAGATATCTCTTAGGTTTATATAGTTCTTCTACTTTGATATGACTATTTTCTGTCTTGAGAATATTTCATGTATTGACTTAACGATTAATGTGTGTGATAGAGATGAATTTAACATAGAAAATAAGCTTATATATATATATCATTGACTTACCAAATTGTTGTCTAATATGGTTTTCAATGCAGCTGAAACCAGGACAATGACATACATCATTGCCTCTGAACCAAAAGCATGGGGGGTTTTGTCCATGGATATCCTTCTAGAGATAGTTAAAGAACTAAATCCAATCGATCGGGGTGCGGTAGGCCGAGTCTGTCACTCGTGGCGAAAGGCTTGTCGGGATTCATCAGTCTGGAGAATGGTCGATCTCCGGTCTCTACGGTCCAACCTTGTCTGGGTAGACACAAATCTTAGGCTGTCACAAGCACTGAGGAGTATGGAGATTTATGGTCATGTAAACATCCGGTGCATTATACTTCATCCCCACCTGCACGTCAAGGATGAACACTTCAACCTCATTGCTCGAGGGTAAAAAATATTGGTCCCCTCTTCTCTGTCTCGATCCATAATCTGATGGTCATCTATATACATATATATTCCTTCATTTACATGATTTGTTGGTTCGTGCAGATGTCCTCGTCTTAAAAGGCTGGTCGTGCCACGTTGGGAAGTCATCAGCAAGAATGGAATGTGCAATGCCATGAAGAACTGCAGAGATTTGGAGTCGTTGACCATGCCTGGGAACGCTTGTTCGCTACGTATGATGAAGACGATGAGTGTGTCCTGCAAGAGCTTCTCTGAGTTGAAGGTCATAGGCTGCTTTCCCAGGAGATTTGGCATGACAGTTGCATTGTATCTACCCGGCTTGAAGGTCTTGAGCTTGCGGTGTTGCAGGACGTCCATGGGAGCAATCGAGATGATTCTGGGAAGCATGGACCATCTTGAAGTGCTTAATCTGTCGCATGCGCTGGTGCAACTCGAGGTGGGATCGGAAGTCATGCCACTAGCGAAAGGGTTTGAGGAGATGGCAGGCAAATTTGTGCTCGAAAAGGCTTCTTCCATGTTGAGTAGCTTCTGGTACTGTGTGAACTATGTATCGTGTGGTGGCTGCCGGAGGATGATGGATGGTCGCCTGAGGCACGAGAATGGATTCTGGTGGCACGATGAGGTGGTCTCTCTAGACTTGGGCAAAGAGGCTCATGATGATGATGATGACGCTGATGATGTTGAAGAAGAAGAAGAAGAAGAAGAAGAAGAAGAAGAAGATGATGATGATGATGATGATGATGATGATGATGATGATGATATACAACAAGATGACCATGACGACGATGATGATTATTATTTTGATTATGATGATAAAGATTATTACTATTATGACTATGATGATGATGATAATACTTCTGATGCACGAAGAAGAAGAAGAGATTTCATTTGCCAGTACCTACCATGAGTTGTATATATAAGAAGAAGAAGAAGAAGAAGAAGTAGCGATCAATTTGTTTTGCTGGTGTCAAAATAATAGTAATTCTATACCCCTTTTTAAAGCTAAAATGTGTAGAGGGATTTCTACGTGGGTAATCTATTTATTGCAAGTATTGTATTTGTACTGGATTGTTGCTGCTATTGATCTTATAAAAAACTATGAAAACTGTTTAATTTCAGTCTTAGTCCGATCTCTCGATTCATAATTTATTATTGTCATTATTATTATTATTATTATTATTATTATTATTTTATATTTTATTATTGTCACTATTAATAATTTATTATTGTCACTGTTAATGAGACTTTACACGGACATCTTTCGCCTTTCAACCGAAGTTTTCACCTTCCAACCGAAGTGAGATACAGGATATAAAATATAGATGTTTTGCATCTTAGGAAAAATATGTCCCTTGTCTATGTTTTGAATATTCCAATGACCTTTATATTTTGTCAATTTGATGATCAAATTTGAACATATTAGATTGGCACTAGCACGGCCACTTGGTCAAACTTTTTTGGGATCTTGTGTTAATGTCATCGAGATGTGTTTATTGTTTTTACAATTGTTCATGTAAGATAGGATGTTTTAAGATGTTTTAGATACTTCATATGTGTTTTTTAGTTGTCGATATCATATACAAATGAGATATTCTAATATGTATCAAATAATTTAAATATTTTTTATATCTTAAACAAACATAATGAAATGTTGAGGGTTTAAAAATATATTAATTTTTTTTTTCTTTTTGATGATTCTTATTAGATTTCATCCGACTTAGTAATTCAGGAATTTATTAGATATTCAATAAGATAAAAGTTCTAGCGGATATCTCATATCTTAATCTTTACTCATCGTAATACTTACTATATGTGTCTAATACTTTAAGTTCAATTTCGAACTGACGATGAGTTATATCGATCAGTACTTTTTCTGATTCAATGAATTATTATCTTCGTAATAATTCACTCTTCTTCTGGTCATTTAATCTTCACATCATCAATTTTTTTATCCTTTCTCTTTCAAGATTTTGATATGCACTTTTCAAACTTTTATTTGATAGAGTGGCCATGTTCTAACTCTTGATCTCATTATCTAATACCGCTGAAATATCTCCTCTTATTGGATCAACCTTAGATGACTTATGATTGATTAGCTTACATCAGATTAATTTGTCAGAACAGTACGGTTCATATCAATTTTAAATATTTAGGTCAAGTCAAATCAATTTTAACTGATCAAACGAGGTCTACTCAATTTGAGTAAATTTTGATTGACTAGCTCAAGTTAGGTCAATTTTGATCAATCAACATAGGTGGAGTCAATTTTGGTCGACTCAATTTTGACCAAAGCACCCTCCATTTCTTGCAAGCAAAAAAAAAAGAAAAAGAAAGAAAGGACATTCATAATCAACTTAGAATTGTCTAAAAGTCCTTACCACCACAAATGTACACAATATAAGTATTTATGTCAAAACACACAACACAAATATACACAAGTTGTTTTTGTGCTTATGACATTGATACTATTAAATAAATTATTGGGATGATAAGTTCACCTAATTAAATAAATTATTGAAGCACTGATACTATCAACGCATCGCTTTACACTACACAAGATGCACTTGGTTAACATAAAAAGTATATCTAAAACACCCAAGACCAAAGCCCATTTGTAGTTTCCATTAAAGGAAATAAAAACCCTAAACCCCAACGTAACCCTAAGCATTATATTCATTGCAAGATACATTTGCTTAGGATAAAAATAAATAAATCACTTATTTGTGTGAAATGCATATACATGGGGGTGGAGACTAATGATATGATCATTATTTTTAATCAATCAAAATTGGATAGGTAGAATCCAATCAATTCCAATGATTATATGAACGATACTATATAAAGGTATTTATGGATTTTAAAGATGCATACTAACTTAATTATCGAAGGAATTTTATTAGATAAATCATTGATATAATTTTTTTAGAAAATTAGATGTAAAATAAAGGACGTAAGATTTAGATACAAAATTTCTATCGTCTAATTTCTAAAATGAGACAAACAACATGAAATTTCTCTCTTGACACATGAAATCTATTGAACAATTATAGACATGTCACATCGGCTACTAATTTTATTGGATATATCACATGAGCAGAGCATCTAAATAATATATTTACGCATTAAATTAATGGTTACAAAAATGATACTCTATAAAAATGATATTTTTCGATAGCAAATGATACTGTAGTGTTTACAAGAATGATTTTGCTAGACAAACCATTCGTCGTATGTTCTTTAATAGGGAGCATAGATATGAGATACAAATAAATATCTGTTGCTTTCAAATTGAAGGCAAAGAAATAGGATGTGGATGTTTTTTCACACATGAAAAAAATTTCACTCTTAGTCTACTCTTCTAAACACTGCAGTACTGAAAACACAATCGTATCAATTTCATCAAATCGAATTACAGGTCAATTTCATCGAATCAAATTACTGACAAAATTTGCTTACAGCCATACCCCTACAAACAAAACAAAAAGATCACTCCTTAATCATCAAAATCATAAAGAAATTATTTAATCGTGACACCGAGATCCATACTGTATCAGTAACAAAGTTTACAACAGGTTATTCATCTACACCCACAATGCAATACATTCTCAGCTTCATGAAGAAAGGTCATCAATTTCCACATCTGAAACTTTCTATTAATTTCTTCGCTTATTTGTTCCATAATATAACTTCCTCTCCAATGTACATGAGGTAAAATGTGAGATACGTTACAAGATTTGGAAGAAAGCTATGAGGTACTTAAGAACTGACAAGACGCCTATTAATTGGTGCTTGTTACACAACCAAATTTGTTTGCCGACCAAAAATGTAGGGGAACAACAGGGTGCCCACAAAGCACCAGTCTTAACCAGGTACAGAACTTATCCTTGTTGTTAGGTCCAGCATTCACACAGTACAGGCTGCAGAACCTCGGATAATGATCAAAGGCTTCGAGGCATTCGACTATCTTTGGAGGAGCTCAAAAATCAATTCATGCACTCGAACTAAGAACCAGATGGAACTGTATCAAGAATCAAACAGATGATCACCACCGCCCATGGTGATTAAGTTCAAGTAGGCAGGAAGATAGAGCTTCTCTTGCGAGCCGATTATCTGACTCCACAAAGAGCACATCTTCGAACAGGCTCTTTGCCTGTTGTAGAAGTTTCAGCTTCTCTCCTTTATTATTTCGTCGCAAATTAGATCGCTGCTGGAGCACTATGCCCCATCTGTACAAGGCTGCATGAAATACACTTGTCTCAAAAAAGTGATCTATTAAGTACTAAAACATTATGCAGTAGTATCTTAAAATTGGTATATTAAGAATTCAAAGGGAGATGTTACTAGATCTCCACAAAGTGGTATGAATTACAGCTAACCATAATTAGACACATGCATTATGGAATATATCATGTCATCTATGCTAATGCTCAACTGCAATTTAAAGTGAGTAAAGGACTATAAAAATTATACAAAGGCAAGAAGCTTGAAACCTATTCAGCAGCTTAGTTTTATGGCCTTGTAAGGTTTTATCCTAGTCAATGAATAGAACAATCAAAGTGCCGTTTAGGATGATGAATTATCTTGAGCTCAATTCTAGAGTTGTAGTCCGGTACAAACTCTTTCATCAGCAATGTAATAAATCCAAGACTAGTGGATTATGCAATCATACCATCTGGGGCATATATATTGCTTCTAGATGTGATAGCATCAAACTTATCAATTGCAGCCATGTAGACCTTGTCAGCATCAGCAGCTGCTTCCTGTACATGGATAACAAACTTTTTTATTAGAAACTACATGACACTCCAACATAATGAATTACAAGCAAACTCATGACAACCGCATAAAGCATATAACACAGCTAAACCTCACAAAATATATATATATAAAGAAGAATCTTTTGACTTGTGAAACAAATGCTGTCTAGAAAGAAACTAATAGCAAATACAGTATGCCAGACATGGCATACTGTTGTTTCCATGCTAGAATTGTGAAACAAGTTCAACTAGCTTGTCCCTGAGGACATGGAACTAGGCCTGTTCACAGGTCTGCACTGTATCTAGCATGCTTCTGTGCCTTTCATAAAAAATTACAGCAGTTCATTAATTCAATAAAAACAAAATAACTGAACCATAGAGAATTATATCTTCTTTTTCCTAACAATCAACCATTGTAACCTTTGTCGAATTTATCAATCACATAATATAGGTCTTTGGCATCAACTACAACAAATCCACTAACACCTACATACGAGATTAAGATTCATATGTAATTTTTATTCCTTCTACTCAGGGTCAGATTAATGCTTACCGGTCCAATATCTGCAATTAACTGAGCACGATAGGATAGGGCAAGACCCCAATTATAAAGGGCTCGAACATCACTCCGATCAATTGTCAATGCCATTCTGTATTTTCTTCCAGCCTCAACAAGAAGTTCTTCGCATTCTTCACAAACATCAATAAGGACAGCAGCGACATTCTCTCGGCTCATGTTGTGAATATCAAGTTTCTTTAGCCGTAAACTACATAATTTCTGCTTTAAAATGGCATCACTTTTGGATAAGAGAACTCTCAATTCTCTACTAATCTTCAACTTAAGCTCCCCATGCAGAAGATAAGTGTTCCCCAACTGACCTATAGCCAGCAAGCTCATTGGCTTCAAAGCAACTGCTGTCGAAAGTAATATTGCTGATCTGTATAGTAAGGCATCTGCAGCTGCTTCATCAGTTTGACTCTTCATATATACCCTAGCTCTTCTTTGGAGTTCTGAGGCCTCTTTGACATTTTGATTAAATTCTTCATCAGTTGAAACCATCGATGATGATGATGATGACAACATAGTTTTGCCTTCTCTTACACCATCAGTTGGATGTCGAACAGATTGGTCATCAAATTTCACTTCCAAATCATTACAACTATCATCAGATTGGTCTATAAAATCACTGTCATTTTCAAGTTTATTCTTTATCTTGTTGCTATTTTGCTCAAGAGCATGCAAAGAGGATTGATCATGTACTTCAAGCATTTGTTCCAATAGTGATGATTCTGCAGATTCATTAAAAAGGTCCATGCTTTGTATTTCCTTTTGGTTGGCATTACCATCTGCAGAATTATGCATCTCATTCTGCATGATGTTTTGATATTTATGCCGGAAAACCATTTTCTGGTAACGTTCTTGCTTGGTCATGAAGTGGAAACTTGTATTTAGGTTGTTAAGTACTTCATCATGTGAGGGGACACGGTTTCCATATCTCTGATCTCCAGAGTGATTGAATTTCTTTGGGGTGATCCCTGATCTACTATTTTGACCTGCCGTTATTTTGACCTTAAGCATCTCTGAAGCATCTCTTTCCACTCCTCCTAATGACAGTTCAGATTTTTCAACCTTGGAACCATCTAGCTTTTTGTAAGATGATGTATTTACACCGTTCTCGCTAATCTCAGGTGATGCTTTCAGGACAGATAATGCACTATCTTCCTTCATGGACTCTGCTTGCTCTCTGAACTCTACCTTATTGACTGCATCCTTCCCCTTTAATGGTTTCAATCCAGTGATGTTCTCCTGAAACAAGCTTCCAAATAACTGGACGAGATCATACACAATCGTTCCCAATTCTCTTCTTTTACGGCTCAGCTTATAACTCGATTTCTTTCCCCCCTGTTCAGAGTCCATCTGTGAATCCACAATGTTACCTGAAGAGAAACTCTCTATCGTCACCTGGGCATGCCCCATTATCAATTTCATATGCTCGACAACCTCAATGAAGTTCTTTAGTTTGCTCTTCTCCAAACGATTTGACTTGACGCCTTCCTCCAATCCGCTTCTTAAACCGGACATCTTATCATCCAATTCCTTCAGAAAGTCCCTCAAATCGTTCAATTTGTCGTCAAGATCCCAAATTGAACCACTTGCAACCCCTGCCCGAGCCACTCCAGCCGAGAATCCAACAACAAAGACCACAACCGAAAGGGGCAATACAGCCATGGAAGAAACCCTTACCCTAGACACCGCCAAGGCGGAGAGGAACCCCAACAAGAAGAGGAACCCGTGCTTCCCGTCGGTGATTCCCAGAGAAGCCAAGAAGCTCCGTATCGAATCGAGCGTACCCGACCTGTAGGATTCGTCGAGGAGCTCCGCGTCGTCCCATCCGCCATAGCTGGAGGGAATCGGGGCGGGAGCAGTGGAGACCGAGCAGGCAACGAAGACGGCCTTCCGATTACGACATCGAGCGCAAGAGGAGTGATCTCTGTGGAGCAAGGGATTGAAGCGACGGAATGGATGGAGCAACTGGGGAAACAGTGGAGGCGAGAAACGGAGGAAACGAAAGGAGAGTGGAGCAGTCTCCATAGGGAGAAGATCGCATGCGAAGGAGATGGGTTAAAATGGCAAGGGAAGTACAGCGATGTCCATCATTGCCCGTGGCGTTTCATGGATTCATCTCTTTTGCTAGGAAGCCGAAGAGAACCACGTCAGTAGAGCATACAGATTCGTAAAGCGACATGATGAGTCTTTAAGAACCACGCGTGTACCTACGGACGGCGGGATACAGCGCATAACGATTCGTAAAGGAACATGATGTGAGTCTTTAAGATCCACGCATGGACCTACGGACGGTAGGATCGACGCAGACGTGTAAGCTTTACATATAAACCCTTGTCATGTTTTAAATTGCTTACAAGTCTAAGAAAGGGTTGATCAATAGGAACACCCACCCGTGCTTGTGGCGTTGTTAGAAGTCATCATAGCCGTCAATCTCACAGGTTCCATGATTTCGCACCGTCCGCTTGTACGTGCGGGTGGACTAGTAGCTCCGGAGGCAGGCAAAGTCACGGAGAGGGACGGTCTGAAATGAATCAAATCGGCTCAGGCAGGAACCCGAATCTTAAAGACATGTGACCGTCGTCGAAAGCTTGTTGCGACTTTATGTCGGGTCTGGAGGCGACGGCTGGCACAGCATCTCCAAAGCTTATAGACACTGTCCGAAGCCTCCCCCGCTTCCAACATCCGTCACTCCGCATGGTTTTTGACGACGCTTTGTTTCTTCTCTGTGTGTGTTTGGCGACCGCCATCGTTGCATGGCAGTGAGCTGGCTGCAGGACCGCGAGGTGGCGGACCTCTGCATCGGCAAGCCGCCGACCAGGCCGATCCCACTCTCCGCCACCGTCGGCGACGCACTCCTCGCCCTCAGGAACGCCGGCGCAGACGACCGCCTCGCCGTCTGGGCCGCCGATCGCGCCGCTCCCGAGAGGAGGGCCTGCGTCGGGAAGGTGTGCATGGTCGATGTCATCTGTTACCTGTGCGCCGAGGAGAACCTCGACGCGCCCTGCGCCGCCCTCGGCGCGCCCGTCTCCGCCTTCCTCTTTCCCAAGGCCGCCGCCCCCCCCGTCCGCCGCGTCGAGCCCAGCTCCAGGTTCCACCCTCGCTTGGTGTTCTTTGGGCTCCGATCTTAATTACATCATCCCTTCTTCTCTGTGGAATCTTTTTTCATGGATTATTTGTATCTTTGGAGGAATATCAAATTTTAGTGTATTCTGCCGTCGATCGTGGATTTCTTCGACAATGTTGTAGAAATTTCTCCAATTTGGTTCTTTCTTGTGGCTATCCGCAGCATTTTAGAAGCTCTCGACGCGATTTTCGACGGGGTGCAGAGCCTGGTGGTGCCCATCCGCGCCGCCGCATCGCGGAGGAAGCTCGCCGGCGGGGGAGGCTCCGCCGAGTTCTGCTGGCTGACGCAGGAGGACTTCCTTCGCTTCTTCCTTAACTCCATCTTCCTCTTCTCCCCCGTCCCCGCCCTCTCCGTCTCCGACCTCGGCCTCGTCCGCCCCGCTGCCCTGACCGTCCGCCACCAGGACCCCGCGCTGTGCGCTCTCCCCCTCATCCGCGCCGCCCTCACGGAGCAGACCTCCGTCGCCGTCATCTCCAACAACGGCCACCTCGTCGGTGAGATCTCCCCCTCCACCCTCGCCCACCTCGACGAGCGCGTCGCCGCCGCCCTCGCGGCGCTCTCCGCCGGCGAGCTGACGGCCTACATAGACTGCTCCGGCACGCTGCCAGAGTCCGCCACAAGGTCCATAAAAGCCCGGCTGAGGGAGAAGGGGCTGCTGGGCATGCTCGAGCTCCTCGAGGCTGACTTCTCTCCGCCATTCTCGCCCACGACGTCCTGCTCCTCCTCCTCCTCGTCCGACGATGAGTCCTCGCCATCGGCGGCACCGTCGAACTGTAGGAGACCGAGGCGGCTTAGGTCAGTGGGGAGCTATTCGGCGAGGATGGGGAGGCAATCAGAGGAGGCGATCGTGTGCCATCCGTGGAGCTCGCTGGTGGCGGTGATGATACAGGCGTCGACACACCGAGTGGGCTACGTGTGGGTGGTCGACGACGACTACTTCCTCGTCGGGATGGTCACCTTATCCGACATGCTTAAGGTATTCCGGGAGCAGCTTGCTTGAGCAGTACGTACGAATCTGCTGTACTGACGCTCTTGGTCCCTTCTAATTGCGCTGTGCGGGAGTCGGAGGTTAGCAGCACCAATGCAGCCACATGCATGCGACCATCGCCGTCTCCTTTCTTCCCTGCACTAAGACCACACAGTCTCAAAAGAAACCCTGGTATTCTCCACGGGGAAACACGAACAAGAAGACTGCGATAAGCTCGGGCGCTCTGCGTCAGCTTTTGTCACTTGGAGCATCGTTGGTCACCACTTGGCTCCTCACAAGCTTATCGGAAGCAACTCGTTTACTACTTGTGTTGCCTCGTGTGACTTGCAACTCATGAACTTGGAGACAACTAACGTAATAGGGTTCCATTCGACTACAAAATCCATTCATGGATGCGTTACGATCGAATCGTAATAACTTGGTTTTGAGAGTCGAGGGAGAAAAGGTTCTCCTGAGTACGACAATCCCCTAAGAAACTTCGACATGGCTTAATCCGTGGAGCTCTTGAAGCTCATAGTTCTGATGCAGGAGGAGGAACGGATCACGTCGACTCTATCCTTGCCTTTGGACGGATGGCTGAAATCTATAACCTCATCGTAAACAATGAACTTTATCTTTTTATCCTATCCCAACTCAAATTCCAACTTGATTAATTAATTAACTAATTAATTAATTAAATCTAAAATCAAAACTAATATTGACATCTATTTTTTCTGCCTTCCCTTATTCCTTTCTTTCGACTAGATCGATCCTAACTAAGTTTTCTAACGATGAATGGGTTTAAATATATGTAATTTGATTCTTTTAATCCTGAATTATCTCTCACACATAAATATTTTTAACATTTATCTTTATTCATGTATAAGCTGATTATCTTTTCTTATTCTTAGGGTTCGAATATATATCAAGTCAGATATCAATTCGTATAAAAATTATAGTAAGTATATGTAACCTGATTCTCTCCACCTTTAACAATATGAAACTATCCTCTTAATACATCTTTTCTTAATCTGATACACATGAATTGCTATAGGGGCAAGAAAGAAGAAGAATAGAAGGAGAAGAACAAGATAGATAGATAGTGTTGGTCTAAACAACCTTAAGCCGTGGCCTCGGGGTCGACGTGGTTGGGTTCAGGTCCGAATGATTGAGGATCTTCCTGGGGCGACCCTTGAGACTGCTAAAGTGGTCGACTGCGGTGGTCCGATCGCGACAGGATTCCCATTTCCTCCGGAAGGGATCTCCTCGCTTGGGCATTTTGTGGGAGGCCTTCGTCTTCGCACCTGCATTCAGGTTGGGTCGGGAGAGTTCGGCCCGACTCCTCCGACGATTAAGTCAGTGGATAGTCTTAGGGAATTTTTCTCCTCCCATTTTTCTCGAAGTGCGAGGGTTTTTATAGTGAAGATTGCCGTTGTCTGATGTGCCCGCTTGTAGGAAGCAGGATCGTACCCCCGATAACGTCTGACAGCGGTGTTGGCGTAGCGTGAAGTATCGAGCCTGAGCAGGATGTTAATGTGCCTCGGCCGACGTTCCAGTCTGTTTGACCATGTGCTGTCAGGTCAATCGAGGCGCAAGGCGTCATCTGTTTGACCAGGGCAGCTGACGTCAGACCGGGTCTTATCTTGGGCAGCTAACGTCAGACCGGGTCTTATCTAGGGCAGCTGACGTTAGGTCAGGTCTTATCGCCATTATTACCCTCGTCAGATAGCATTAAAGATTTCAGATACGTGAGATGAGTCTGATATAATCTTTGCCTTCTATTTTCTTACCACAATCAACTAATAAGTTTTCTGTTAGATTCTTTCAGCACTTCTACGCCAAAGTAATATTTACTATTAAAATATATAAGTCCAGTAATCTACCTTAAGCATCAAAAGCAGTTGATGCTTATAATTTGTTGTCGGAATGCTCAGATGATTTATGTCTTATAATAAGACTTATTTAGATTAAATATATTTGCCCAATTTTTTTGACATCGACACTTGATTTTGTTGACCTAAACCATTCTTCCATGCATAGACCAAGTTGGGTGTTCAAACATCCCAACGTATAAACCAAGGGAGAGAATTGGTTCAAAACACCATTATTGACCTATGACAAAAGTTTAAGGAATAAATAATATTATATTTTCGGATGACATATATTAAGTGTAATCCACAACTCAACAAATTTAAATTTCTATGATTAGTTTGACCCAAACTCAAAATCAATTTAAAATTCTCACCATAGTACTTGGAACAAGATTCACAAAGTTCGAAACGAAGATGAATAAGGGAAGATGATCGAATCACATATAACTATAAAGAAAAATATTAATAGAATATTCATTGGGTAGCATATATTAGAAGAGGAGGATAATAGAATTCAACAGTGTAATATCATTTCAAAGACAATGAAAACGTTTATGCTGCCTCTCAGACGTTCTTCTAGATGGCCTCATTATGCACATTTGACAAAATACCATAAAAAATATATATTATTATTTTTCCTATGAGTGGTCAAATACCTGAATAAGGATTCCTAAACTAATGAATAAATAGATAAAATCTGGTCATAGGACGTGACTGTTGTCAAACCACTGTAATAATCTCACCACGAATAACGGACGGCGATCTGGTCAGTGTCCCCTGGATCGGACGACATAGAACGGATGATGGGCTTCCTTTCCCTACGTTGACTTTGACCCATTCCGAGGCGAGCATTCTACGCTTCGTAATCACTTGGCTCAACAAGAAAGAGACCGGCCGTCGTGACTGGATCGGACGGCATAGGATGGATGATGGGCTTCCCCTCGCTTTCTCTCTCTCTCTCTCTCTGGCAGGCCCTGCGGTCGCAGGAATTGGTCGCTTCCTGTCGGAGATGCCTGCGATCGGGAACACCAAATCATGACGTGTGCATTTGGAAACGGCCGCTCGCCTTTCTTCTACCAATCCCAACTACTTAGAGAGAGAGAGAGAGGGGTTCGGTTTGAAGGAATTCCGTGGTTCTTACTTTGAACCAATCCCTCTTTGACGGCTTCAGTGCGTAAGAGTGAGAAGAATTGGTGGAGTGGAGGGGTTTAAAGCAAGCGTCGGTTGTCCATTCCTGCCATCGCGGCGGAGTGGATCTTTGATCTTGTAAAAGGTTCGGTCTCGGCTCTGTTGAGTGCCCTAATACTTGCTTTTCTTCCTGCTTTTTCTACTGCGATTAGGAGTGATTCATGTTGTTCTGAGGGGGAGATCTGATGAATGGTTCTGTCGGATGTTCTCTTGAAATGGATCAGATGTTCTTTGCCGGTGGTTTTTCTGGTTTGCACTTTGGATCGAGCAAGTGAACTATTCTTTGGATGATGTGGTGGAAGCGTGCTTTTGTTGTGAGTTGATGTAGGGGTAGCTATTCAGTGGCACTTCAGAACTTTGAGCGGGCAACAGTAATGTTCTCCTTTGATCCAGCTAGGCCTGATCTGATCGGGTTAAGCATCGGGAAGTAGAAGCGCGTTTATTCTCTTACAGAATGCCACTAGTTTCTTTTTATTCTCTTACAGACGGTGTTCTTGTCCTGTTTGCCCTTCTTAACCAAGTAGAATATCTCGGTTGCTTTTTCTTTAATGACACAAGCTATTTTTATCTCTATTTTCAGAGGAGGATGCGAGTTTAACTATATTCGCAAAATCCAAAACATCAGGAGCCCTAAGGACTACCTACTCGAGCTGGATTTTGATCCTAGCCATTGTTAGTGGTCACAATTCTAGAATGATTAATTGAAAATAGTCACTCTAATTGGGTTTTTTTTTGTAGCAATAAACACTCACTTTAATTGTTTTTCTGGGTTCAAAGTCCGCCTTCATCGATTACCCTTTGCCAAAAAAAAAAAAATGATATATGCATATCACTGTAATTGTTTGACAGTTTATATATTTTTCTCCACCAACAGATACTCTATCCAGTGCTGATCTTGTGTACTTGTAATAGCTAATGCTATGATTTTGTTTCATTGGACAAAGTTGTCTGTCAAAGTATAGTCTAGACTATTTGGTTCAGAGGAAGTCTGCTGATGTCCTTTGGGCTCACTTCATGAAATGTTAAACTAGAATATTACAATATTTACATTTTATGGAAGTACCAAGTCATAAAGTACCAAGTCATAAAGTACCAAGTTATAAAGTACCAAGTCATAAAGATACTGTTATAAAGTACCAAGTCATCTGCATGTCTCTGGGTTCACTCGGATCCCACATGGATGCTGTACAGATGCACTAAATTTGGATCACATTTGATAGGATGTGCCTAAACTTTACCAGTTTACAAAGTTGATGAGCTTGTTTATGCGTAACTTGTCTTCAAGGCAAAGTTTCAAATATGACTTGATATAAATTAATCATATGTATTTTCACTGATTGCTCATAATTTATGGCAGGTTGAGGTAGCATATGCAGAATTTCTAACTGTTGTGGTTCATCAGACAAGTAAAATATGCGGTGTTCCTGTTTTGGTGCTTTATTCTCTCGGAAACGACATCTTATCGATTCTGAAAAGAACCTAGAGGGTAAGAAAATTTAGAAGCTTTTAGAAGCGTCTTACAAGCACCAAAACAAACTTTCCAATACAAGCATTTTAGAAAGCTCATTATATGCTGCAAGAAGGAATGTCTTTGTTTCTATGTTGGTGCTTCTCTCTGAGGTTCATTTTAATTAATTTGCCTCATGTAATATTTTAGGTAGTGTCGCATGTGATTGGTAAGGCATAACATGACATGCAAAAGAAAACCACACAGTTGAAATATAGCCATGTACCTGCAATTTTTTAATTGTTCTGTTTGTGGACTTTGCAGCTATTTTATCCTACAATCTCTTGCAAATTCCCTGTGCATGTTTTACCATTAAGATTATTCTTGTCGCAGGATAGGTAATGTAAACTGACAGTTGTTGCTTCAAAATTCCTTTTCTCTATCCAGGGTTTTCATCAGAAAACAATCTAAGTCTTTTTTCTTACATCGAGCTAAAGTCAGCAACAGATAATTTTCATCCAAGCAACAAGATAGGTCGGGGTGGTTTTGGAACAGTGTACAAGGTACACATCAGAATCTAGTTGCTGTAGCTTATGATGTTTATTTTAAAAAAAGCACAGTTTCTGTTGCAGAAATTTGCATTTTGGGCTTTATATGATTAATTGAATGTTCCTACAAGTTATTGTCTTTTAGATTCACTACGTTATCAGGGTTCTAGTTGATTCAGGGGTTCTAGGGACAAAGAAAACATATGGCTTCAGACCTAGATGTTTCATTGCATGTCTTCCTTTTTAGTGTCATAGTACTTAATTTATCAACAACAAAGGCAGACCTTGAAGATTTTCTTGGATCCTCCTTATGATATGCCTCCATATGATTTTCCAAGTACAGAAGAAAAGCTGCCCTACCACAAGGGCTTAAAGGCATGCTCAGTGACTGTTTATTATAAAGCAATTACCATTGAAGTTCCTGGGAAATTTGTTCAATGTGTCCTGTCTTTTAAAATTTCTATATACTTTTTCTATGCAACCATGGCATCTTCTGTTTAGATTTAGGACCATAGGTTTAAGAAAGCACAGAAAGCGGTATTTGGAGGGATTTTGGCCTCTGATTCCCTCTTTCTGGCATGAAATTGAGGGAAGATAACATCTTAACTGTCTTAGAATGATGATTCTCGGAGAAAACAATATTCATGACCTAGACCTTGTCTTTTCTCTTGGGAGAAGCTACAGTTTGCACTTGTGCTTTACCTTGCTTTTGCATCAAAGGGTTGCATCGAACAGGAATTATTTCATTTTCCATTGTTTGGAGAAGTTTTTTGCTGATAATTTATATATTAGGTTAGGTTGAAGTAGGGTCAAATTTAGTTTCAGTTCAAAAGTCAACTGTTGCATTGGCTGTCATATTACTTGATTAAGAAGTCATTTCAGATACAAAATAAATATCCAGGGTTTTAATTCTTGTCTTTGTTAGCCTAGTAGAGTTCCGAACAAGGCCAAAGAAGGTGGTGCTTCTTCTTCCTGTCCTTCTCTTCCTTTTTTTCTTTGCTGTTAAATTCTACACCGTCTCTTTACGTGACAACAGTTATTAGAAATTCAATACTGTTGTAAACATAAAACTTATCAGGTCTATGAGATGGGAAACATGATTGCAACTGATAGAAATATTTTAAACAGATTTGATGAATCCTCAAGAACACAAAGAATTTTCATTATGGACACAAAAATCTGGTTGTACATTTACACCTCTGACACCGTAGAATCAACTAATAATGACCTCATTGTTTAAGTTTCCTTCATCAACAGTTCTATGATGAAAAGCTCATGTGATTTTCCCTATGAGTAGAACATTTCTTACTTTTCTTTAATTCAACCTTTATAATTTGTGCTTAGATACAGATATATTTATCATTTATGTGATGCTTCTTGTTTGTTGACTCCTTTCACTCATGTATCAGGGAATTCTCAGGAATGGAATAATTGTTGCAGTCAAGGTACTTTCTGCAGACTCACGGCAAGGGGTTAGGGAATTTTTGACTGAGATTGATATTATAACAAACATCAAACATTCAAACCTTGTTGAGCTGATTGGTTGCTGTGTCGAAGGCAGTAATCGCATTTTGGTTTATGAGTACTTGGAAAACGGAAGTCTTGATCGTGCATTACTAGGTAACTGTCATATCTTTGCAGGATTTATGATAAAATCAGCACAAGCAACTACTACTGTTAAATTCTTTCGCCTTTCAGGTTCAAACAGTGATGCAGGTAGGCTGAACTGGTACATCAGATCTGCAATTTGTATGAGCATAGCCAGGGGTCTCATGTATCTTCACGAGGAGCTTCAACCACCAGTTGTGCACAGAGACATAAAAGCTAGCAATATTCTCCTTGACAGGAATTTTCTCCCTAAAATTGGAGACTTTGGTGTGGCTAAGCTTTTTCCTGATGATATTACTCACATCAGCACACGTGTAGCTGGAACAACGTACGATTTGCTCAATTTTGTTGAACTTACCTAGACTACATTTTCTTAATTGAGTTCTAGTTGTTAGAATGTTTCCAATGACATATTCTTTAATACATGTTAACACCCTGTATCTTTTACAGAAGAACATACAAAAGGTCACTTGTTTAGTTATGTTGGTTGTTTAAAAATGAACACAAAACTGAAACAAGGAAAATTTGACTACAATTTTTTAGCCATCAAACACTCCATCCTATCAGATGAGAGTCTACTGTTGTAGTAAACTAGCACCGGATATGTGCAAATGCATGGTATACATTGGCACAAGAATAATATAGGCTCTTAGTACAGTTTTGGGGAAAAAATATTATGCACGAGAAATAGGAAAGAAGTATAACTTTGATGTTAGGTCTAATGTTTAAAGGAAAGTACCTCATAAGTATAATTTTCCTTTAAAACTGTTCTATGCATTCACAAAAGCTAAGTCAAAAACTTCTGAGAAAGGAAATGTAGTTGTTAAGTCTTTTTCAAACTAGAAATTTATTTTTCTCTTGCTTTGTCAGAAGCAACTCATGAATGGCAGAATGAACTTCAAAGTTAAAACTAAGTGGAAAAGAAGCACATGAGACAAACAATTTCCTTGTTGCAGCACATAATGGTAATATTTTCAGCGATCTTCTCTGAAATTTGATTGGTAAATATCAGGCAACAATGAATGTGAATATGAACTTAGAAAAATCTGCTTATCAAGATCACTTCTGAACATCTAAATCATCCTTAATCTTACTCTCATTTCATATGGTACTGCTTGTATGTGTAAATATGTATATTTAATTTCAGTGTATATGCTCTTCAATAGATTCATCTAATTTTCTTTTGGTACTTATTGATGGCAATATTTGATGCAGGGGTTATTTGGCACCTGAGTACGCTTTGAAAGGCCAGCTAACTAAGAAAGCAGACATATATAGTTTCGGAGTCCTTGTTCTTGAAATAATCAGTGGCAGAAGTAATTCCAAATCATGGTCAGAAATGGGGATACCACTCTTGGAATGGGTAAGGATTCATTTCTACTTGGTTTTTTATGACATTGAGATTTAATTATATTTCATATGATCTTTTTAACTTTTGCACTGCATTATGTTATTCTTTGTGGTTTAATTTATCTTGCATTAATACTGAATGAATAATTACGAATTTTTAATACGATCTTCTAGTTTGAGATAATCCGTTAGATTTTCACACTGAGTGAGAATATAGAATATGTTGTCAAATCTAAATATTTATTTATTTCCTAGCGTATGTTCATTGATTCTCCTAAAACCCTACATTGGCACAAACCTCATTTACTAACCATCCTTTAGCCATGCATATGCATATGCATATAAATCTAACTACTTGCTCAATTTCCTTTACTTTTTGTGTGCCCCCCTGTCATTGGGCTTTTATAGATTGTTCATCAACTTTTTCGAGTTAAAATATTATGATATTGGAAACAAACTCATAATCACAATCACTTAAAAGAGCAGAGAAATTCTGATACATGTATTAAACAGATACTAACTTAATGGCCATATTATATTGAAACTAAAACAAGTTAAGGAGCTGGCTATATTATACCGATTAAATGGATGATCACATGTATTGGTTCTATCACTGAAAATAAAAGTCAGCAACTCAAACCTAGAAATCTCAGAAGCATATATGAGACGAAATGGGGATAATAATAGAAAAGGACAATGTGTTCTACTTATGAAAATTAAGCAAGTGGCAACTTTCTGTACATTAATATATAGAGTTAAGACTTTAAAACATGTCCAAATTTTTAGTAATTCTGACACAACTGGACTCAGACCTATCTTGTTAGGAAGATTTCAGATGGTAAACTTGTACGAACATGAGTACATGTCAGTTACATATTATTTTAACTTTTAACTATAGCCAACTCCATTTAGAAAAGGAAAATGGATCTAGACAAACATTTTGCAGCCTGCTTGGATCCTCCACATCGTTATGTTATTACCTTGAGCATGTTCCCCCTTACCACTTATTGCTACGTTTGAACAAATTCAACAGATAAATTTTGAAAGGAAAAGAAAACTGCAAGTTCTGCTATATGATAAGCAAACACAGGCATCAACACATACCCGAAAATTTTGCACGCACACTGCTGCATTTTCAGAAGTAGAAATTCTTCCTTTTCTTGATATTGTCCTGACATTTACGTTGAAGATGTCCAAAGCTGACTTTAGATGCATAATGGATGTTGAGCAAGAAAAACAAAAGAAATATGACATTTTTGTTATTGCACTTGTTTTCCCTCAACGTCCTTCTTGTCCTAATACTTGGTGGTTGGTTTCTATGAGGCCTTCGTCAATACATATGCACAATGTGCTGTCGGTTCTCTTTCTCTTTTATGTTTCAGGACTAATTGTCTTCTTGATTACATGCTTTGCTTTTCCAATGCTGAAGTTAATTTTTCATATCAATTCTGCTGATGTCAAATAAACTTGCATATGGATTCGCAGACATGGACGCTTCTCGAGGAAGAAAGGCTAACTGAGCTGGTAGATGCAGCTCTGAAGGATTATCCAGAAGACCAAGTTATAAGATACATTAAAGTGGCCCTTTTCTGCACACAAGCAGCAGCAGGCCGGAGGCCATCCATGTCCCAAGTTGTGGAGATGCTGTCCCGGCCGGTGCTAATTAATAACCAGGAAATTACACGGCCTGGCTACATGGAAGACTCCGGGAAAACTAGCAGAGGTACGAGAGCAACGAATTCCACTTTCTCCCGGTCAAAGGATTCAACAAGCGGCGACACGACCACCCCATTCTCCCTGACTCATGATACCGTCACGGAAATGTCTCCAAGATGACTGTTTTTTGCACATAACAAGTTATATAATATATATATATATATATATATATATATATATATATATATATATAAAAAGCTAACATGCCATCACTGACCGCCACGCAAAAGATAAAAGTGAATTATAACAGAAGATTAAAAGAAAAGGATGGAAATGATTCTGAAATGGCCTCCTCGTGGTTATCATAGTATCATGGATGGTTCCCAGTACAAGTCAACATGGCACACATCTAAGATGAAGCAGCTTAAGTTGAGGGCTTGCTGTTTGTTGTGGTTTCTGTAGTGGCTGCTTCCTGTTTGGTCCCGGTGGCAGCAGCTCCATCTTTAGCTGGGGCAGGTGGTGGAGGGGGCTTCAGATGTGTCGGTGTATTATGCTTAAGCTTTGCCAATATCTGACGCATTCTTGAGAGGTCAGTCGGCTTGCCAGGCTTTGGTCCTTGTACAACCACGATTGATGGCTTCTTCTCTTCTTTCTTTCCCCTCTTCTTAATGCTCGGTATCTCACGTGGTATCAGCTCTGAGATTGCTTTCCAGTAATTCTGGTCTGCGTTGCCATAGAACTTCTCCTGATCCGCCACGAATAGCTGGGTGACAAATAAGCAACAAGTTGGTCCCTGTACAACGGCTGGGTTTACAAATGAATAGAGCAAGCAATATTACCTTCTCCCTTTCTCTATTTTGGATCTTGTTTGTCTCACGGTTCAATTTCCTTTTCTCGTTGAATGCTAGCTTGTATTCCTCAGCTTCCGCTGTAATTTGATTCCGATGCTCCTTTTCCTTCCTTTCTTTCTCCTCAAGAAGGATAGCGTTTTGACTGCATGTGTGGCTCAAGTCAAGCCAATACATTTTCTTTCAACAAACTATAAAGATAATAGTATGCCACAGCAGTAGCTAAAATGTGCATAAGTCTCTTAAACCTTTTAACTCGCACTGCACTGATGTGTTCAGATCTGAAAGGTAGGATCCCTTGTGAATCAAGTTTCAACAGCACAAATGACTTTGGCAAACAAAATGTTTACTTCCTTTATCTGAAACTCAAAACATCTCTGGATGCAAAACTCAATAGATAATTACCAACTTTTCCATCTAATCGAAAAGACTATCTTCCCCTTAGTGAGATCAAGAGGCTAAGCGCCCGCCTTAGCACCCAAGCATGGCGCACGAAGGCTCAAGCACCTCAATTTGGAGTTCGGGCAGGAACCTTTAATTGAGTGTCACTTAGGCGTGCACTTGGGCACCTAGCCCAAATTGATCTAAAGTAGCTTGAGTTGAACTCAAACTTGGTTCAACCACGCCATTAAACACCACCCCCTCGGTGTACTTCCCTCTCCTTAACCTAATCCAATGCTTACTTAGTGCGTGTGCAAGGCGACTGGATCTCAAATTCTCAACACATGTAGAAGCCAGCGGCTGTCATTCGTGCATAAGGCAAGCGACCCTCTGGCGATGCCTCCCCTCTCAGAAATGGAGGTACCTTCCTCTCTTTCCTCTTTCTCTCCATCCTTTTCCCCCTCCTAGTTGTGCTAGCATTCGCACTCTTCACCATGTTGTCCCCCCTCCACTCTCGTGACAGAACCTTTCTCTCCCGGTGGCTCTTCACGATTGATGGTACAACCACCTTCCTCCCACTGATCATAGTTTCATAGATTTGGACTATGCAATCTAGGAGTTTGATATTGCTCGTCTTTAGAATCCTTGGACTACATCACATCCATAGTCCTGAACCAAACCATGACATATGCTATCATAACAGCCTTGGATCCTTTCATCAGAAAGACCAGTTCATAAAATCAAATATAAACCTATCTATTATAATTCAAGCTAGATTTGAATCAGAATACAGTTGCAACTCTATTTACACTTTAGAAGTATGAAGAACTGCAATTGTTCCTCTAAACAGTATCCAATTTACACTGCACAAACATATCTATGGAAAAAACCTGTATATTCTATTATAGTACTGCTCGTTTCAGCTTGAAAAGGTTACCATCAAGTAGTACTGCTAATCTGCTACCGATTCTATCACACCCTAATCCGTGACACGCAAAGACCAAAGAATCAAAATAAAGACTAATTGAAAGCGCCAATTTCCCTGAACAATCATAAACATCAGCTTCGATTCGTTGCAGCAAAGATCAACTTCCAAATGCTAGCAACTAAACCTAATACGGGACCATAAAGATCACCAAGAGGAGCATCTTCCCAACTCTAAAGTACACCCAACAAAACCAAGAAAAATACACAAGAAATTGTAGCATCGAACAAGAGGGTCAAGCAAAGGAGGACTCACCGGCGCCATTCCCGCAGAATAAATCCTTCCTCCAGCTGCATCTCGCTCGGTGGCGGCAGGATCGGCCCGTCCGAAGCGAACGCCCCGTCATGATCCACCTCCCCGTAGGCCATCCCGTTAGGTTCGGGCACCGAGGAGAAGTCGGAAGGGTGCGGGTCCGCAAGGAACCCGTAACCCTCGGGCAACGGGGGGGAGCTGCCGCCGTCGCCAGAGACGTGGAGGACGGGTACATCGTGGAACCCCCCGTATCCACCTGATGGGTCGTCGGCGACCGGGTCCTCGGCGTCGACGTCGTCGGTAGCGGCGGCGGGCGAGAAGGAGGAGGAGACGGCGTCAAAGCGCTGGGAGGGGAGGCGGGGGTCGTAGCCGACGTAGCCGTCGTCGTCGTCGTCGAAGGGGCCGACGGAAGCCCTGACCGCCACCTCTTCGTCGTCGAGGTCGAAGACATCGTCGAAAGAAGACGACATCGCTTCTCTTTCCCTCCGTCTGAAACCCTCGACACCTTTTGGCGTCGGGTGAAGCAGAACGCCGCGGAGCGATATAAAGCAGCAGCGAAGCGATAAGAAAGAGGCGGTTCGAATGATCGCGTTTATTTTCTTTTGTTACCCCTTTTACCTTTTTATCCTAAACAAGTTTCAAAATATCGTAATTGCCCTTTCAAATTTAAAAATAATTTTAAATCTAGAAATAAATAAAATTAAAAATATCTTTTATTATTCTTATAATCATAATAATATTTAGCTAATAACAGTTAATGGATTAATTATAATAATTAATATTTTAAATATTATATTATATTAGTATATCAATGGTACGATACATACTAAACGGTATCGAATTGTATCGAACGTATCGACATATAATATACAAAAGTATATTAATATATCATCCTACCGATTTTTTATTGAATCAATATATATCACTACAGTATGATATAATATTATAAATCATGATAATAATATACATAGACCTAACAACGAATGATAAATCTTTAGAATCATGAAGGTGGGTTATGTTATACGAAAAATATATCCTCTACGTTTTGCTTTGTGATATTTTACCTAAGAACATTGACCCATCGTGGATCATATTGACTCACAATCCCTAACATCCGTGCTTTTTGACCCAACTGAGCTCTCACATAATTTATTATACTACATTGAATATAAGTAAGCAACCAATTGGGTTGCATAGGCTTGTAATAGATCGTCTTTCTTTTCACGGGAGGATACTTTCCCTCCTAAATTATCTTATGTTGTTGACGACGAAGTCTAAGGGAAAGGAAAGGAAAAGTGAAGAAATGAGACATAGATTTGCTTTTTGAAAATAAAAATTATATATATAATCCAATTTGTATATAATGTATAATTGGAATTGGTGTGTATATCTTTATATTGGCATTTGCATATCACTCCTTCAATTTAATGAACCATAATTTGGATTTTTATTTGTTGATGAAATAATAGATGCATAAATAAATTTATATTTTATATATAATAAATAAACCTGCATAGTCTAGACTCATGTAGTAGATTGTGATTTCTCAATATAGATTTAGTGTTAGTCTCACACATCTTAATTTTGCAAATTTATACTAGAGATTAGTAGTGTTTAATTTAATTATTAATATTAAGCATCGAAATTGGCTTGACTCGACCAAAGGTATCGATTAGTAAATATTTTGATAATTTATCGTAAGATCCTAAACTTGAATTCTGTCTTTGTAATTTATCTTTTTCATATATTGTCATGCTTTGAAATCATAATTATTTGTTTCTAGTCTGGAGACCTTCTTGATTTAGTAGCAAACATTGCTGGCTTACTTTTATTTTCTAGTCAACTGTACCTGTCAAAATATAATTGATCAAAATTATTTACCATATCAAAAGGAAAGCAGGATAACATTTATAATGATAGCAAGATCATATAGTTTCCTGGGTAGGTAGGTATCCCAAGCCAGAGACAAAGGAATGCCACATATTGTAGTGACATGACATAGATACATACATGGGAGATTTTTAATTCCTGCAAGGATATGTCAAGCTTGAACATTCCAACTAATAGTACTTTTGACAAAAACAACATACTTGATTCTACTGTAGCCTCTTTATTAGATATGACACAATATGATGCCTGAATCAGTGTGCAGGTTATATATATATATATATATATATATATTAGGAAAAGAATTAAAACTGTCAGATAAAATATCTATGGTTTCTGGAATCAGACATGTGTTGACCAGTTTCTGTGCTTTTGTGAACTCAAAAGAAAACTGTGCAAGTGGAGATCATATATTGCTTCCTATGAAATTTAAGCCAACATTCTCTGAGTTCATACCAAAACCAACCCATTTCAATCACATAATTAATCCAAGTTTGCTACTTCCCTCCAATTAAACATGTGTTGGTGCTTTCAAATCCCCATCAAGAAAATAATCCCAAAGGCTCAAACCATGATGCATTGTTTACATTTAGCAAGCCAAGAATTAGGACTTTGACCACCAAAAAATAATCTCGAGGAAAATGAATATCATATCACAATATCTTTACTACTTTTCTAGGTCACACAAATCTTGATGAATTTGGCAGTATAGATGAGAGATATTAGCAGTGTCAGTTTTTTTTCTGAGAAAGAGTTACACACTGTTACAACGTTCTCCCCGCCTTTGGAGCATGACAGTCCCATTTTGATCAATCCTTCGGATTGCAAAGCCTGGTGGATATCTTGCAGTTACCAGAAAGTTGGAAGATATATAATGATAAGAAAAATGACTAAGATCACAAAGAATCATTGAACCAGTTAAAACTTTTTTGCAATAATGATGATGACATCGAGTGAGATACTGCGCCAGTGATGCTGGTCAGATCATTCCTTTTGCACCAGAACTTCCATGTCACCAAGTTCCACCTCAATTCTTTGCCATTCCCTTCCGCTATCAAATAACAACTCGATCTGCTCTAGAGATTTGCCTTTGGTTTCAGGAACATACATATACATAAAAACCACCGAGATTGCTGAAATTGCTGAAAAAATGAAGAAGGTTCCAGCCACAGAAAGGGCACGACACATCGACAGGAAGGACATTGCAACCACACCACTGCTCACTCTATTCCCTACAGTTCCTAATGCAGCTGCCTGAGCACGCAGCCTTAAAGGGAAGATTTCAGAGCTCATTACCCAACAAATGGGACCTAATCCCACTGAAAAGAATGCCACATTTCCGCATACAGCCAATATCGCGACCAAAATTCCTACTCTAGGCGAAACCAGCTCGTGTCCAAGCAATGAAAGAGCTAGACCCAAACAAAACAGGGAAACGGTCATACCAACAGTGCTAACATATAGCAAAGGCTTTCTACCAACTCTGTCAATTAGGAGGATCGCAACCAAGATGAATGTAGTTTTAGTAAAACCAACAGCAACAGTCGCAGCAAGAAGTTTGCTGTCAGAACTGATTCCTGCATCCCTAAATATGGTTGGGCTGTAATACACAGTTGCATCAATACCACTGATTTGCTGGAAGCACTGTATGCCAAACCCGGTGATAAGCATCCTACGAAGTGCAGGGGAGGGCCTCAGGAACTCCAGCCACACAGCTTTTTCCTCACACTTCTCTCCCTTCACACCACCAGCAGCTTCCTCTATTTCAGCTAATTTGCACTCAACTTCTTCCTCGCTCTCGCTGATCCTCATTAGCACTGATCTTGCTTCTTCTACCTTTTTTTGCATGACCAACCATCTAGGAGATTCGGGGATTATAAACAATGCGAATCCAATGAAAACGGATGGGACAATTCCGATACCAAGCATTATCCTCCAGCTTATATGTTCTGAAAGACCAGAGAAGGCATAGTTTGAAATGTAACCAAGAAGGATTCCAAGATTTATAAAAATCTCAGGGAAAGAGGTGAATGATCCTCGAGAGACAGTAGGAGATATCTCTGCAATATAAACCGGTGCAACCATGACCCCACATCCTATTCCGACTCCAGCCAGAAGCCTGCCTATGATCAGCACTCGGAAAGATGGCGCAAAAGCCATTATAGCAGCACCAGTTTGAAAAATAATTGCAGCTAAACAAATGGTCCATTTCCGGCCAATAGCATCCGAGGTTCTTCCAGCTGCTAAACTACCTACAAGGGAAATAATGCTCAAACACCCAACTAGAACTTCTTGCTGAACTTCTGTTATGTGCAAATCCTTTTGGATGAAAAGAATGCATCCACTCATAACACCCACATCTGCAGAAAGAAGGCCATGACTGGAAGAGGTAAGTTTCGTGCATTGTATATGTCTAGAATAATCAAACATAAGCATGTCTACTGCATTCCCTTCCAAGATATCAAAAGATTACAGTTATGATTTCAGCTATCACCAGAACTTTAAAACATTTATGATATAACTTTATTATTAAATCAACTGTTCTCTATACAATGAGTCGACAATTAAACTGCAATGCAGTCCAGCAGTGAATGGCAACTTTTGTGCTCAGTAAGAAAAAAAAATTATCAAGTTTCTGACAAAGTTGGCAATATTAACTAACATTTTTTGGTATTAGGGAGAAAGAGATGGTGCAACTTGATCAGAATTAAACAAATTAAACATAATTGTATAAAAAATATACTAGCCAAAGGTATTGGATAAGCATCAAAAGATATAAACCATCATAGACTAGTCAAGCATGAGCCTAAGGAAATATATAACAGTTTCTTTTACTGAAAGAGAGCAAAAACCATTTAAACATGGTAAAAGATGAACCAAATCACAAGGTCACCTTGCCAGTATGAGATCTGGTGAGGGTCAACAGTAGCCCTACCCCTGCAAGCAGTGAGGCTGTTTTCACTAGCAATCTTATTATGATTTCAAATCTCATCCTGTATCATTTGAGCTTGGTATTTCCTAGTGTTCTGTAAGAATGGTTAATTTTTTAAATTGAACATTACATCACCAAGACCTTGTATTGCTCTTCATGAGTTGTGGAAGAGCACCTTTGGCCACAGAATCAAATGAAAAACAACCAAATCAATCAAGGACATTTCAGCTGTGAAGATGAGAAATAAAGAGATTTTGGCTGGAATGACAGAACCAATTGGTGCCGCTCATGCCGGAATCTGACAATTACAAAGCTATTATATGACCAAAAACACTCAATTTGAAGAAAACCAGCTGCTAATTCTACTTGTCAGTTAGTATTTCCCTTAATATACACGATCATCTAAAGAACAGATCTCAGAGACCCACATCTGGATCTCCGCTCGTCATTCCAAAAGCATCGAAAGCCAAAAAAAAAAACACAAACTTTAGCAGATTGGGATGGTAAAAAAAAGAGGTTTTCCTCACCGTAACCGAGAAGTACAGAATTCAGAGAAGCAAAAACGGCACAGACGAAGACATATCTCTTGCTTTCGCTTCCCCGTGTCGGCCGATCGTTGGCGAGTTCGGCGTCGATCCTTTCGTACTTCCCTTTGCTTCCGATTCCAGGCAGGATGGAGCTCCCGTTCCCGGTCCCGGATTCGTTGCCGAACGCCGCGTCATCGCCCGACGCCATCATCCCAACCCCTCTCTCTCTCTCTCTCTATGAATTAGGATCGAGAAATAGAGAGGGGCTTTCCGGGATCTGGGGAGGGTTTTAGCTTCGATCCGAGGGTAAGAACCTTGCAGTGCGACTTCGACTTCGACTTCGCACCCACAGGAGAGGACGACCAGCGCCGACTGCGATGAGGAAGCTTTGACTTCACACTCTGTTTTTACTACGACCTTTTCGTGAATCTATTTTCCGTAATTGGCGCTCACTTCTCTACCCTTATATCTATTGGGCAATAAGTACGGGACCCGCATGCGGTTGTCCGTTCCTCTACTGCCGGCTCCGTAGGTGCCTCTCTTCCAAGAATCTTTGTATTAAAGTGCAGATCTTTGGGGCGCTCGTACGGGAACCCAAGAACGTACCCGTCGGTGTGAAACGCAGGATGAACATGGTTGCGAGATTGACGGTGTCGATTATGTGGTTGGGTTCTGTATGCTTCTTTCTCGGTGGTACTATACGTGAATAATTAAATATAATTTATAAAAATATTTTTTTAAATATAAGTGAGGAAAATTAATTATGATTAGATTATATGATTGGCTTCTCTATGTCTCTTTGTTGATGATATAACTTATAAAATAAGAAAAAAAAAGAGTTAACATGCTGTTGGATAAGGTAAATTAATTATGATTAGATTTGAGACTAATACAAAAATTGCCTTCTTTATTGAGTTCTCACATTGTCTAAAAGAATTTTGAAGGTTGAATATAAACAGATTGTAAAATTATAAGTTGATACAAATAGTAAAAAATAAATAAAGAATATAAATAATTATTAGGACTGTAATAACATAATATACATTGGATAGAAATAGAAAGTGGACTGGAAGGTAGAATCAGCCATATCCTATTAATTTGAAGGTTAATTGGTTGATGACTAATTTTGTTTGATTGTGAAAGTAATCTATAACTTGAGAACTAATTGATCGGAGGATTTACCTCTCTTTGCATTTTGATCTTCAGGATAAAAGATTGCATTAGTTTTTTTAAAATAATAATTATTATTATTTATTTTAAGAAATATTATTGATCAGTGCAAACATAAGGAAACAAAAAGAATCGGAGGCTAGGATTCATTCCATTGATAGCCTTATGCACATTGTCTAACTGAATAGGTTTGTTTTCATGGTTTAAGCTTTCTCATTTTTCGATCTTTGGATCATTTCAATTGTCTAATTCTACTTTCAACATTTACTTACATGAATGTTGAAGGGACTTTTTTTTTTTAGGTGACCTTGAAGTCTTAAACTCCCTTAGAATCACCATTTGATTCACTAAATTAGGTCTTCATAGGATTGAGTATCTCAAGATTCATTATATTGATTCCAAAAGTTATTTAAGAATGAAAATAAAGAATTACACATGATCCTTTAAAGACTAATTACATAGTTATCTTATAGTTATCATGACGTCATCGGTTTTACTAATGAAAAAATGAAAATAAAAAATAAATAGATATTTTTAATGTTTTAGTTGGTGATGACAGACACGATGTCGTTGAGGCTACGAGTGGCCGTTATGGATGAGGAGAGTGGCGACGAGAGATAAAAGATTACTTGACAACTATGTCAACAACGGATACGATAACATACTCAGCATCGAATTCCAGGACTCATATTTTTCTATCGTTGTTGGATGTGTCCGTTGGGAGCTCAACTCCTCCTTCAACGAGCCCCCCACCCTCCCTTCCCCCCCCCCCCCCCCCACATCTCCCCTTTTTCATGCCTATGCGATAATTGATGTGGTAGTAGGGGGAGCAATAGGAGCTCCGGTGACCCTAGCTTCGGGTTGAGCGATCTGCTCAACGGGTCAGTGATGATCGGCCACCATCTTCATTATAGATGTCGTGACGACTACCATTATCTACATCATCACTAATATAATTATTGAGCGACACTATTATGTAGCTACGTCAATGCTAATGCATATATCGAGTAATCCTTTCATCACTCGACAACTGCATTAGGGTCGATGTAGATTGGGTCATCGGAGCTCTTGTTGCTCCCCCTACTACCACGTTAATTTCAGCATGGACATGAAAAAGAGGAGATGGGGGCTCGTCGGAGGAGTTTTATTCACTACGATTGTCATCAACTAAGAAGGAAAGCTCTAAAAGGCAGATAGGCAAGTGGTTATCAAGCTCCTGATGGATGTATTCGGTGACGTTAGAAAAATATAAATCTCGGAATTCGATGTTGAGTACATCGTCATACTCATCGTCGACGCAATTGTTGAGTAACCCTTATCTCTTATTGTCGCTCTCCTCGTCTACAATAGTCATTCGTGGCTCCAACAGTATCGTCATCTATTATCACCAATTAAAATGTTAAAATTATCTTTTTATTTTATATTTTCGTATGTTCTACTAAATCGATGGTATTAGTATAAATAAGCAGTTTCTCTTTTATAATTATAAAAATATTAATATATTTTTTTTAAAATATAAAAATCGAAATACTAAAGATAATTAACTATATTAAATAATATTTAATTAGCCCACTGAACAACACGTACTACATGCCACGGTCAATAAGGGTGAGGCTGGGCAGGGATTCTAATTGGAACGTGTGTCGGAACTCTTTCCTGTGGTCGTCGTTTTCTCGAGTCCTCCACTGTTGCATTGCTGTAGAAGAACAAAGACCAGGCCGACGTTGCGTCGAGCTCCAGCGACGCACCGGCTCGGCTCCCCCATCTTCTTCCTCGCGGGGCCCCCGACAGCGCCCACCGTTCCATTCGTCGCCACCGACCAAATGCTGGTGTGCGTCGTATCTGTCGGCCACTCGCCGTTGGGGGAAACGCCACGGCCCCCCGATCGCCATCTTCCTCAGTCCATTCACCAGCCCGGAATTAGACGGGGAAGTCTGTCACCGCAGCATCACCAACCGAGTCCACCTCGTCAACGAGCAGTGCTCCTGCCGTCAAACTGATGACTCACCAACACCTCACTCTGAGTTGGCGTGTAATCGATGGAATCTCTGAGCTTCCTTTCCTGCATAAACTACTATGAAAATACTACATATTTCAGGATTATATATACATAGAGATGAACTCTGAAAAGCAAATTCTTCTCATCTAAAGATTGATAGTTTCTTTTGTAGATCAAATCGCTCCTCATACAGACGTGATTTCTTGTACTTATGCTGAGGTACATTACAGATATATGATCGCACGAAAGCTATTATTGGCGGTAGCTGTCATTGCCAGTTTCTAATGCCGACTGAAACCTCAGCCCGACACTGACGTGCTCTTCTCTGTAACAATAGGCTTGCTTGAGAAGTAAGCAATGCCTCTTCCTCTCCCACTCCTCTTCTGCTTCTTTACCTCTCCTTCCCTTTATATTACGTGCCGCATGCATTAACTTCTGGAGTTTGTGGCTTCCAGTCCTGCAGACGACGACAACACACACTACATTGATCACTTTCCTCTTCCACATTTAATACACAGGTATTAACGTCAGCAGCAGCAGCAGCAGCGATTCCAATCTCCGTCGGCCAACTTCTTATTCTATCCCAAATCCGACATGCTCTCAGCTTCTATTCGCTGCCAGCAACTGCTTCCTTCTCGTCCCAAATCGCTCGTCCTGCCGTTTCCACCGTAGCCATGGGAGAGAGCTTGAAGTGCTCACAGGTGTTTGATCGTGGTTGTGAGGAAGGTCGATGACTGTTGGTGTGTGCTATGTATGATTCTTTTGTTTGGGTTTGTCTTGAAGGACGCAGATCTGGTCGGTGGAAGAGCACAGCAGCGGGAGAGGCAGACGCGGAATGCGGCGGTGGCGGCGCTGAGATGCCCGCGGTGCGAGTCCACCAACACCAAGTTCTGCTACTACAACAACTACAGCAAGTTGCAGCCGCGGCACTACTGCCGGGCCTGTCGCAGGCACTGGACCGAGGGCGGCGCGCTCCGCAACGTGCCTGTGGGTGGCAGCCGCAAGAACAAGCGCCCCCGGGGCGCTCAAACCACACCCGCCGATGCATCAGATGGTCATGGAAACGGAAGAAGCATCGACGACGGCAGCAGCAGCGTTTTCTCTGACGCTTCCAATCTGCCGATCATCCGTCAGCCAACACCGCCGGAGCATTTTGGCGCCGGATCTGAAGAACCGCTCGTCTCGAGCTCTTATCATGAAAGCCCTCATCCTTTCTCTTCATTACCGTTCTATGATTGCACAGGGCAAGACTCCTTCACTGTCGATGATCGTCTCTTTGCAATGGAGACCTCGATGCTGCACCTGCCGGCGAGCAACTTGAGTCACTGGGACGACATCATCGACCTCGTCAACCTCGAACTCAAGCCGCCGGCGCCCGACCGAGTGGATCACACCCTGACTTACTGAAGCATCGGCTGCCTTCTGCTCTTGGTTGCTGGATTTTGTTCTACGATGTGGATGGAGACTGAAGAGGAAACCGATGGGAATTTGTTCTCCGGAAATCAAACTCCACTGTTTGCTTATATTCTGTAGGCAAATCAATTAACACATCTGAACATTCTCAGTGAAATCTCTGAGATTTTGATGTTTCAGTTTGCTGACGCACACAGATCCATTCCAATATTCCAAAGCCATATTACTTGGAACATTCACCAACCAGAAATTTAGCTCTTTTTAAATCAAATATTTTCACAAAGGGAAAGAGAAACAATATGGGAACACCTGAAATGTTTAGTATTACATACATATCAATCTGCAGATGTGTGGTTTTTTGGCTTAGATCCATCTCCCAGAAACTTTTCAGGTGAAACAGATGAAAGAAAGCTTATGAACCAAGCTGTGGAAGATAGAATTCACACCATATACCCTATCTATACACAGAACAACTGCACTTTGGGAGTAACATGCAACTCGCACTTCACGCACCATCAACTTTCGGCGCAATGCATGCTTTCATACCCGAAATGGGAAGCCGAAATTTTGATATATTCTTATTGCACCTCCTCGTCCAGCAGTGACGATTACCATTCCCCATGCTGACCTGCTTTGCACCTGCAGAGCCCCTCTGTAAAGCTCACCGCTGGTTTGAGGGCTAAGATTGTTCCGTTGCGGCTTCTCTTCAGGCCAAGCCACAGAATCCAGATCGGTGGAGTAGTTGGCGTTCGAAAAGATGCGACTGTGAAGAGGGCTTTCGGAGTAGATAGGCGACGATGAACTCTCATGCCCGTTGCTCTGAGCATGCACCTCCAATTCACACTTGGATGCTAGGTCAAGACCATTCTGTCTGTTGCTATGGCCCACAACCAACCCTGAAGCAGTGGTGCTTGGCCATGCAACCGCCACCGTCACATCCTGGCAGTGGAAGTGCTCATAAGATTGAGTGGAGTTGATGACACCCTTAGTCCTACTTGGTTGAGAATCAGCATCATATCTCCACATATAAACATGGGAATCCTCGCTAGCACAGATCACATATTTCCCATTTGGGGCCAAGGAGGCTGAGATTTGGCTGCTTGTGTTGCGAAAGCCTGAAAAAAAGATGGAACAGCATCAGACCAATCAACCTTGATAACAAAATTCGATACACACGGTCCTAGCAAGTCGCAACCATGAATATAGAATACAACATAGTCATTGGAGAAAGAAATGCCGACATACTATAATGAAACTTCAAATGTGTTTCATCAAAGATATCGATGCTTTAAATTGCAACATATAAATAAAAAGTTATATATTTTATTTAGTGGTATGAAACCGAGGGCCGAGTGAGCTGCCTATGACTCTTTAGCAAAAAAGTGACCAACATCCTTGAGTTAAAATTTGCTGAAAGGACATTAGTGCATCTACGAGATTCTTTCAGAAAAGCCAATGACACAACAAAGATCCCTTCTGATTGTGACCATCTGGTGCTGTGATCCTCCATTACAGATTGTTCCCAAGATAATCTGCAACACTGAGGACCATTAAGGTCCAACGCAGAACAAGTTGCTCGTGATTTGGAAGATCATATAATTCATGGAAAAAACTGCTTATTCTTCTTTTCCCTTCTAAGGGTGTTCTTTAAACAGGTCCTATACTCAAAAACTGTCTACATAAGGTAAGATTTCTTTGGTGAGAGCACAGCCACAATGAACACCAGGCCGTACCACGAAGATCTGTGCAAGATAGTCACTCGATAATGCGTTGGCAGTGGCCATACAGCATGAATTCATATTGAACATTGATTTAGAAGATTGCTTTCTCCAGGATTATTTGACAGATGATGAATTAGTGTGTAGATCATCATACAAACAGGCTCAAAGCATTTTCATATGCCAGATGACAGGAAGTTGCTTTTCACCTCTTTGAAATTCAAAAACAAAATCATAAAGATTGGTGAAGTCCAGATCAAGATCTTTTCATATTACTGTCCAGGAAAAAACATAACAGAATTTCCTACCAAGGCAATTACTAACAAAACAACTATTCGGTGAATGTACAATCACAAGTTGATGCAAGTGCACAGAGCAATAACCTTTATGGATGTGAAAAATAGATGCATCGATAATCAAGAATCCGTATTACTTCTTTGATATAAGGGTTAAAAAATAGATTTGGGTGAAAATTTTTGGCAGATTCATATTATTTGGTTCTATCTTAGCTACAGAATTCTAAGATTAATAGAAGGAACAAAGTATAAAACAAAGCATAGCCATAAATGTTGATAATATAATATCCAAAGTCTATCATTTTTTATCACAAGAACAAAAAGTTACATCACCACCAGAAAATATCTGGATCATGTTGATTAAGAAAGGTGGCTGCATAACACCACATATACACTGGACCACAAATCTACATAAATATATATTTCCAGCTGTTCAAGTAGGAATCTTTTTTTTTAATTTAAGAAAAGAACTTGGAGCTTTTTCTGAATTTCCTGATCCTTAACATGATAGAAATTCAAATACATAGGTTCTTAAGTCTCTAAAAAAAAAAAAGGAATATGAAAGATTGAACTCCTAATTCAGATGACCATCAGATACAAAACTTTGGTTATCTCGTGTCACATTATTAAAGCATCCTAAAGTTCAAACTACAAGATCCTACTACATTCTGAATGTGATGTCTAGCTGAGTTTGACCTCATGATAGTGGAGAATAACTAGCATTTGTCACCCCATTGTTGAAAGTCTAGCTTCTTAAAAATTGCTTAAAAATTCAGAGTAAAACTCTCAAAGTTTCGCCATTTAAAGTCTTCATCTCAGATTACTCTCCATCTCGTATCTTATGTTATTCTGACCTGAGGAGGACTCCACTAAACACATTGATGCCATCTCTCCGTTCTGTAAGACTTATCTTGATGAATACATCTACTACAACAGGGCACCTTACATCAGGGATGAACCTGAGCAGCACTTTTCTGCTCAACTTGGTACCTCACTTCAAGTCACCTTTGTACACCCTAGCTCAACCCATGCAGGCAATAGTGTGCCTTGTCATCTACTTCAGAAAAGAAGGCCTGAGTCAGCCTTTGCAGCCTTAGTCCATAAGGGGCCAAAAATTGACCACATCACTTCTCATTTGTTGTCATTTTTTATGTGAATGTTTATTTTTCCTTCATTTTTATCATTGTATTGTCATGAAATTGGATGTTGTTCAGTCACTCTAATATAGTTCATTTTATCCCTTCGTTTTAGTGGATCTTTACCTTAACAGGGTACAATGTTCATAAATTTAAGATAGAAAATCCATAAGCCATCACTGCCAAGATTTACCTTTAAATTTGTGAACTAGTTCAATGCCATTGACAACACGAATTCTTGAGTCTGCTGATGTGATAAGAACTTCAGAGGAACTTCCTGGAACAAACTGTTTAATGAACTATTCAGTTCAATGCCACGTAATAAATGAAAATTTCTAAAAAATCCAAAAAAGTATAAAGCATGAAAAAAAATTTGCATTCACCTATTTGGTGAATTTAATATATTTCTAGATACCTGAAAGCCAGTAATTTTCTTGTGGCTGGACTTCTTTTTCTTCGTTTGTAAGTAAACCTGGTTCTTGATGTGTAGCTTATTATCTAAAGGAAATTACAACAGTCTAACATAAGGAAAAGAAAATGCAAAGATCATTGAATAATGAAGTTAAAAATATCCCAATAGAACAGGGAGACAAATACAAAAATAGATTGGAGAAATGATCTTTATTATGGCACATACCAGATGTGTCGAACAGGTGGCAACTGCCCTTGTGCGTACCCACTAGAGCAGCCTGCAAGTCCCAACAGCTGAATCATATCATCCATATGGACTTTGGGATTTCAAAGCTTACTCAATGTGGAATCAAATTTATCATTTGTCAAGCATTTGCTACCTGTCCATTAGGGGTAAAGCAGGCAGCAGTAACCATTTCATGAAGATCATTCCAATCAACAATTTGTCGATCTGGAATACTCCATATGCGGACTTTCTCATCTAGGGATCCACTGATGAAGTATTTGTCATCTACAGGATTGAATTGGATGCAGGTCACTGGATCAAAGTAGGTACAAAATTGTCATTCTCTAATAAAACATTACAACTTCAAAATACATGATCATTTAAGCAAAACAGGCAATGCAGAGCAAATTTTTGCTTACCATAGTCACTGTGGGAAAATGTTTTCAAACAAGAACTGCTAGACATGTGCCACAGTCTGACTGTTTTGTCCATTGAAGATGATAGCAGATACTGCATTAAGAAGTAGATGCATGTCATTTAGATAAGACTTTTAATCATAACATTATCAGTATCATATTATCTACCAGATGATCAAACATTAGTAAAAGCATTGAGCACCTTTGATTATGCCAAAGCATTATGTAAAAGAGAAAAAAAAAAAAGAACTTTCCACTAAATCTAGGAAAGGCACAAGTATAAATTTTCTGCAGGTTCCGTGTAGTTTGTCTTAATCAAAGATGTACACAAATCATTAACAGCATGATGTACCATCAAGATATCAAGCATCTTTCAAGTGGGAGTCTGAAGCTCAAAAATAGTACAGAGAGGGAAAAAAAACACACTCCAAAAGTGACAAGTTCTGAGCATATATTTATGACATCAATGTTGTAATAGATCTCTTTCCTTTGAAGGCCTATCACTAGCTCTCTAATAGGTAAGATCAAGGTTGTCTTCCAGATCTTCCTTGGAGGAAGCTGCCATACTAGCAGTGAAACCCTAAGCAAGTTACAACTTAGACAATAATAAAGATGTGCATCAGCAATCAAGGAATTATCTTACATTCGATTTACAAATCTGAGAAGAAGTTTCATAGAACAATCAGATGACTTGAAGAAAAAAAGTAGAAAAATAAAACCAAATATCCACTTGTGAAATGAAAAAGATAACATTCAGCATCTCTAGGTCATGAGCAGGCAAACTCAAGTAAATTTGGTATTCCAACTAGAAGTTGGACGTGGTAGATGAATAGGAAATATATTTAATATAGTTGTCTACGATGATGAATTAATAGCCAACGTATACACAAAATTGATGTAGTACGGTAGGATATGTAATTGAGATGACCATTAGAATATGGCATATATAGTCTGCACGAATAATGACAATCAGATTTTGAAGCTAAAGTCCTCAAAATCGAAGCACAAAATATCAAATGTATTATACAGAAGAAAGCCAAAGATTCAACACGAATAATGATTCAAATAACTACAGATGTTTTTAGCATTGCTAAGGCCAGCTAAATACTTCACTATTAGATATTGTTTCTACAGCATGTATACATGGGAAGGCATAAAATGATGTTCCAACACCCATCTAGAAACCACTACTAATTTGCCTTCTACTTTTCAATTGATGATTCCTTTTCATACCATTTTCTTCTCCAACTCATGCCTCTAAATTTTGATCCCATTTGCCACCTATATTCTTGCATCTTAGACATCAGTTCAGATGGAACCTATTGTTGGAGAGGGTTCTTCTATCTAGTGAATCACTTCATATTAAGGGAAACAAGATTAGCTTTAGTGCTCATGAGTCATGAATCATTTTTAAGTGAAAATCCTTGAAAGGTATACCTTCTCTTTGACCCACCCCTGTTGCTTAAAGTCTATTGTTAAACCATGTCTAGTGTTTGGAAAGAAAGGTTACATTATTGAAGACATTCACAAATTCATCAAGGATAGTGTCAGAATGTTTTTCCAACTCTTGAAGAGGATCAGATTATAACATGTTAAGAATCTAGAAATCCTAATGATAGATGAGGAACATGGACTTTCTGCAAGAGCAGAAAAAAATGTCTAATTACTTACTCGATGCTCACTAAATGAAGCTCAACCTGCTCAGGAATGAGCTCATGACCATGAGCTATCCCATGTGTGAATATTGGCATCAAATATGGATCAAAGAATCACATAAATTAAACTTTTTTCTGATAAAGTTTGCAAGTTAACTAAAGTACTACTTTTTCCTGACCTCAACTTGTTTGGAATGATTAATCAATCATTCGTTTGTATTTTTATGACATCATGTACATGGGTGTTGGTGACATATGCTAACACCCAAAATAATCCACATATTAAAGGATTAATAACACGATCTGTAACAGTGATCAGTGAATGCAACAGTTGAAGTGATTATTTGGGCTTAACCAATATAGCTGACAAGAGAAAATTGATGTGTAGAAAAATAAGATAATCTCAAAGAATAAACTAGCCTACTATATGCCATTTGTTGAAGCTGGTAATGCAATTGTATTTCAGGGAAAATTTCATTCATCCATGGTCAATGAGGAGATTAATGATAAATTACTGTGGTCAACCAGAAAACAGAATTGGGACGATCCAAAGGTGCTAACATATTTAGCAAAAAAGTAGAGTTGATAGGTGGCCTTAATATGGGATAATAAAGTTAGATTACTGATAAGCTCCCTCTTTATCTTCGCTAGTGAATGGCAAATGCAGCAGCATTTACTTACTTAGTATATGCAGCACCAATGATCAGTCTTTCTTCTTATGAAGGCTCAATATACCGAAAACCCAGACTTTAAGTTTGTAAAACCCTTTGACCCACATATGTCTTGAGAAACCTCAAACTTATCTATTGTGTTCAATCAACTAGCATTCGGCCTGCAAGTGATGCTTCGTCACGAGTTCCTTAAGGATCAGAATTTCACAAATCAATGTTTTCCCTGGAATTAAATGGTGTTTCATCTAGAGTTAATTAGTGTTTCATCAATTACAAACAATACTAATGCTGATTTTGCTAATACATTAGTAGGCATCATTAACAGGGAAGTTTTACCAAGTGTTGATTAATCAAACAACACTGTGTAGCCACAGAACAACTATTTAACTTTTGTGAAACAAACAAAGAAAGAAAAAATCACCTGCGATTTGGACCATGATAGATCAAGAACATCTTCTGTATGGCCTCTGAAAGAGCAGATGGGCTTCTCCGATAAAGCGAAAAAATGGTCTGGCATCATTAAGTGGTCAGAACTCACAGACCTTCTGCTGTTAGGGACTTTTGCCTTTCTCTTCTTCTCCCAGTGGCTCCCCTCTACACAACTCATTGCCACTGCAGGTTCCGGTGAGCTGTTACCAATTGCAGCCAGAAAAGGATTACAATTCCCATTCTCCCCTATGGCTCCATCTGACAACTCCCCCTTCCTCTCCGACTCAACAACCTCCCATACATGGATAACACAGTCCTCGCCTCCACTTGCCAGATATCGCCCATCCGAGCTAAATTTGATGCTCCAGATTGCCCCATTGTGGGCCTGAATCTCCTGAGTGATGTAAAGACCAGTGAGCTCCTTATATGATTTACCATACTGCCGGACTCTGATCTTTTCAGGGCCGTGGTGGAGGGAGTGCGACCCATCCAGGCTATCATCCGTGGCTGAGCTCGACCTCCTCCCTCCCTTCTCAGACGATGTGTCTTTCTCATCACTGCTCCGCCTTTCCCGGTGATGGTGCCCACCAGAGACCACCGTGCCCGCCATGTTCTTGATGCTCTTGAACCAGCTACCTTTCTTCTTGAACCTCGCGCCCGCAGGATTCCCTGAGTTGGCCCTCAACCCGCCACCAGGGCCCTCGAAGGCGTAGCCGTTTCTCTTAGTGCCGCCGCTCCCAGACTCTTCGACGCTTTGCCGCCTCATGAGCTCCTGTACGATTGGGGACCGGCCGACGCAAATCTCGAACTCCTCCATCGTGAGCTGCCGCCCGGTCCCGACCTCCTTCAGCTTGTTCCACATCCCGTCCTCCCGTACCTCCTTCACCACGAACTCGCTCCCGTCGTCCAAATTCCTGATCGTACATTGCTGGTAACCGCCGCCACCGTCTCCGCCGCAGCTGCCGTCGGTCTCTTTGTACTTTCCCCCAGCCAGCGCCCAAGATCGCCCGACTAGGGGCGGCTTGTTGGTCGCCGTGGCAGATCCAAACGAAATAGCACGCCGCTGCGGCCGTTCCGCAATCACACGATTGGGATCGACGGAGCCATCTGATCTGGATCTGACGATTACAGACACGGCAGGCGGCGAGGAATCGAGGGACGGAACGGATGACCCAGCCTCTGCCTCCCAAGCCCTAGGCCCACCGGAGCCGGGGTCGACGTCGGGGGAAGGGGCAGTGGATTTAGCCCGGGCGAGAGCGGGGTCCCCGATAAGGCCCATCTGCTGGAGGAGGCGGCGGCGGCGCTCCTCGACGGAAGACGGCTCGGAGATCCATACGTCGTAGGAGCTGGCCACCGGCGGCGGGAAGTGGGCGGCGCGGCGCTGGTGGTGGCGGTGGCGATGGTCGGCGTCGTCGTCAGAGGCGGAGGTCGAAGAGCACGACGACGACAGGATCCGATCCAACGACTCGTAGAACTCCTCCTCGTCGCCCTCCTGCTGCTGCGGCGGCTGCGCCACCGCCTCCCACTCCACCGCCGTCGCCGAGCTCCTCATATCCGCGTCCGCATTCCGTTCCCGAGGCTGCCGACCGACACGGCGACCCGATTCGGGGCTCCAATCGGACGTGGCGAGAAATAGTGAGGGGGACGGGGAACCAACACAGAGGGGATCGAAGTCCTATGCGATGTCGTCACCGCCCCGCCCCACTCCGTAGATAAAAAAGCAGTGGCTGGCGTTAGGAACAGTTCTCTCTCACGAAGTACATCCACCCCTTCCCAAAGTCATCCCCTTAATTCCATCGTTAATATCGTCCCTCATAATAATTCACACACACATATATATATATATATAATAAAATACGAATATTTTTTATAAAAAAATATTATTAGATATATTTTTAACCTGTATTCTTATATATTATAAATAAAAATTGATCGATAAGATTTCGAATCCTCGATCTTATATCTTCGATAAATGAGCCTTATTCATCATCTTAAAATAATAAAAGAGGGTTTAAGATAATAAAAATAGGAGTAAAAAATAAAGCGGAGTACAGAGGGGGAAAGCTGAAAAGGGAATAAATAAAGCACGTTGGATACTGCTGGCATTATTATGTGGGCTGAGAGAGCTCGGCACGTTCTTCTCTGTTCCACTGTAATAAGGTGGCAGCTGCCTTTTTACACACCACTTTCTCTGGATCTTCTATCACAAACTAGTTTAATCTTAGCAAATCATCCGTGCTCTCTGTCTCTCTCTCTCTCTCTCTCTCATAATAATGACTGTAGCTGCTTGATGCAAGGCATGCAAGGGTGTTCGCTATGATGGATGGCGCTTTGCTTGCAGTGTGTTCTAATCTCGCTTCCCCGAGAGGCAAACAGGGCATTGCAAATGACTTGCTGTGTGTGATGGCTGTCTTCCTTCTCTCCCTTTCTCGCTCTATCCTTCCTTTTATCTTTGTTTCTTTCCGCTTGTCTGAGCTAATCCGACAGGGCGGACCATTTCCCAAGCGGTTCATGGCGGTGGTCCTCCCAACGCGGTAGTCCTGTTAGGCCCGAAGGTCCCCCCATTCCCTTCACCAAAGGTACCCAACTATTAGCTGTTCCTCCCTTTGCTGGATCAGCCTAGGTAATGGCATCTTTGTTTTACCTACGTTAGGTGAACAAAATGGTACTGCTCACTGACCGCAACAGCTTCACAGGCAAAGCTAAGGAGCTTCTAAGTAGTGCTGTTCCCGAACTCCTCCATTTCTTTGTGAGCAGCAGGCGATCGAGGGGTCGACGTCGATGAGAAGGGACCATGTCCTGCCCTGTTTGCGGCAAAAGAATCGTTTCAGAGGAACAGCCCCCACAAGCATGTTGCAGAGGGCAACGCCCGTAAGAGAAGAAACTAGGAATGGCTTGGGCTGATGGCAAAGAACGCTGTGGCGGACCAGATCACAAGAAAAGCACCATGAGAAGGTGTGTGGGTGTTCCTCCTGGGCTGTGGCTTACTGCTTGCATGGATAATATGCAGCCACTCCAATGATCCTGTCTCGGTAAAGACTTCTGATGGAGGTGAAATGCTGCTCTGTTCTCACATTGCCGTGGGAAGAAACGACTGAGCTTAACAGTGACAATAATTGAAGTTGGATTCAGAATAAGAATGACTTGATGAGTACATCTCAAGGCTATATATATATACCATTGACTTAAGAACCATTTTTCATGAAAGAGAAGAAGAAGAAAGAATTAGAATCTTGAAGGGTTGACAATGCTGCACAATGAGGGGCTGAAGGAAGAATTAAACAAACATCACTGTCGTACTGAAATCAATCATGCAAGATTAGAATAAAAGCACGAATGATGTAGTTCATGGCCATGAACGGGGCCATTCCTACTACAGTGTTGAGAATGAGATAGCTTGGAGTCTGGTGAACGAGATTAACAGCCTGATTGGTGGTCGAGGAGGAGGAGGGAGAGGCAGAAGAGGAAGCAAAGGGCACATGCGGCGGATTTAGTAGTACAGACAGCGGGCATAAATCCACCACTCACCATCGATGCACTTCGCTGTCAACTCACGGAGACACCGCCAACCAACCAATGCATTCCCCCCACCCCCCCCTCCCTCTGCTGCCTTCTTCCCTCCTCTTTGCTGCAGGCTGCGGTTGCCGATGGCCCACGCGAGCACGTGATGTTCTTCCCCGAGCAATCTTGGAGTCGCCTGCTCGCCCTGGTGGATGGCTGACCACGAGATGAGAGAGGGGGATATCATCACGCTGGGCCCTCCCAGGAGCATGTTCGCATCAGGATTTACCAGATAGAAGCCGAGTCTTCGTCCCACGAAGATGTGACGAACAAACTAGTTGATCAAATCTTTCATGAGTATGATTAATCTCTATCACCTAAATACAGTCGAACAAGCCACACAAGGTTGAATTAGACCATCTCCTAAAGATAAAGATGAATCTTGATCCTGTTTTTGTCGATGAACAACGATCTGATTCATTATTTTGGAGCATCACACAAGAGGCAGAAAGGCATATCATAAATTCATTATTTTCCTTTCAACTTCAAAAGCATTATGCACTGGAAAAAAGGTAAAAGGAGAATTTATTACACTAATCAGACACGACATTCAACCGATCAAAACACTCGCCGGAATAACTTTCAGGGGGCAATGTACATCGCATCAACAAAAGCAAAAAATTGGCAAAACCATTACTGCAATTCTGCTAACCATAGTCCTGATCCTATTGATTTACAGAGCTAAAACCGGAGACCTTCCCGGCGTTAAGCTGCTGAGACGTCGGTAGAGGCTGCGGTTGTGGCGGTGGAAGTGGTACTTGCTGTGCCAAGACACCCTTACTATCACTATGAACGGCTGATACACCTTGGAGCTGTGATGGCTGACCAACTTGAGAATGATTCAGCAGCCATCCTCCTGAAATCTGACGACCATCACCTTGCATCGACTGAATTCTTCCCTGAGAATCCGTCACATTCATGTATCGCTCTGGAACCCCTTGAGCTCGCATGAAGTGTTGGTTCAAGGGTACAATCATCTGGCCAGAACCCCAAAGGCATAGTGCACTGCCTGGAAAACTTGGCATTCCTGCTGAAGCCGGAGAAGGCCCTAATACTGACCCCTCTGCTGGCCCACCTGTTGGCACCTGCTGTGTGTGTGGAATTTCGTAGGGAGCATTGTAATATTGTTCAGATCCTTTTGTAGAATGATGAGCATAACTAAATGCTGCATGAGGAACTACGGCCTGGTTGGAATTTATAGATAACTGATAGTTTGGCAGTAAAGGGGGTTGCGATGGCGGGTAATTTGAGGATGAGGACTGGAAAGCATTCCCTTGTTTCTCGGAAAGCAGTTGATCAGAGACTTGTCGATTCTGAGAACCAGCCTGGCCCAAAAAACTTTGGGGCTGATTAACCCAGCTGTTGGGATGTGGGTTATTGTCTGCCTGGATATCACCTGGCTGGCGCTGTTGGGGGCCATTGAATGGCATTGGCTTCAAATGAAGTGGCACCACCGAAAATGGATGATCATTAGACTGTTGGTGACGAGTTCTTTCATCACGATAGTGATTCTGAGGGTTTGTGCTCGGGGAGAAGCCTGACATTGGTGGTGCACCAGCAATGGATGTCTCTTGCAGTAATAATTGCTTACAAGAATTGATAGATGACGCACTTGCCTCAGTCTCAGTGCCGCCCTCCTTGGTATTGGATTGAAGGTCAGCATGAGCCTCACGAATATGAGATTCAAAGTCTGATTGTTTGAGAAAGGACTTTAGACAGTTAGGAGCAGCACATATAAAGATGCCCTCCATCATTTTGATAGATTGGATCTTCTGAATACGTTCATTGCAGCTGCAAAAAAAGGAAATAACAACAGTCATATCCAGTAAAATCGGTAATAATAAAATCCAAGAATAATGGAACATAATTTTGCAGTGGAATCAATATAAATAGGACCCTTGTTATACATTTTGTGTAAAAGTTTTCTAATAGTTGGTGCTGCAATATTTCTCTCTCAAACAAATGTACCAATCAAACAACCAAGAATATCCATTGCACAGAGAGTATTGTGGCCACACTTCCTAATTTGGAAGCTCATGTCTATCTTCAACCACCAGAATGTATCGTCCAAGTAACAATAAAGATGATTTGATGCATAAAAACTTCAATATTAATTGATAAGATGAATTGGGAACAGAAAGAAGTCTCTCCAACGGCAATGCTCTATAAAAGAGTCCATCAATTGTCTATGCTCATTAAAATAGGCTGGACGTATAATGGGAATAAATGGTGACTATGATAATGAGATGATTGGAAATTAATAACAACAAAAATATTGTGGTTGATGAATGTTAATACCGTTTAAACATGTTGACCACTAAATTACAATGGTAAACTTGATTGTCAAAGGTAGACCAACAGAAAACACTTGGTTAAAGTTACTGTCAAGTGGTAAGAATCAAACAGTTAATAACTCCATTTTACAATGCATGAAAGAACAAACTATTCCAAAATTTGGATCTTGAATACTATAAGAGACACCAAAAAAACAAAACCCAAGTCCAATGCAGATCGAATAGCCGATTCATAAATAAATAAATAGATAAGCTCAGGTAAAAAGATCTTACAGGCAGCAGCTAGCATCACTTCTTGCACATGTCAAACAGAAAGCATGTTCACATGGTACCTGCAAATATTTTAGGTTATAGTAACAGCACACAGACCATAACCAACTAAAGTTCAACACTATGTTACCCATTTTATTGTGCATGCAAATCATAGTCATCAACAGAAAACAAAAAACAAATGAAATCTTCAGCCATACAAGCCACCTTCAAATTTAAACCTGTCTAGCATTCCAGATAAAATTATGAGGACTAATTTATCCAGCAAAATGATGACTTCCCAACACTTATATATAATGGATGACGAGTAGTATAAAATTAAAAATTTGGAAGTAGAAAATATCAAGGTCTTAATTAGCTTATCTAATTTTATTGGGAATGGTTGCAAGATAGGTGTGTCATCCTCCAAAATGCTCAATTTATTGTTGTTAGAATAAAGAAGCTACAGTGACTGTCAATTACCAAAGCCACCATAGGGGAACAAAATTTTGATCAATTAGATAAGCATCTTGTCAACCATGCAAACACGGTAAAATCGGCAACACAACTGAAAAGAAAAAAAAAGGCATAAAAAAGTGTGCATTCTCCAAATCTAGGAGTTGTTTTTTTAAGCTTCTATCGACATTTTTTTTCTTCAATAAAATAGACTGTAAAGGAGCGGGAGTTTTGCCATATTCTTGAAATACATAAAATGCAGATGTTTCATTCCTTGTTTTATTTTTTTTCTTTTTCTGGTTTCTCATCCTGAAGTCTCATTTAATTTTTCATTTAAGAAGGAAACCAGTGTACAAGATGCCTTCTATTACTAAAAAATTCCAATATTTAGATCAAGTAAAACAGCATTTCTCTCACAATCAAAAGCAAAAATCTCATTGTCCAGCTCAAGGGGGTTAATAGTTTGATGTTTCTTGTAAGTTGCATTCAGTATTTGGATTGAGAAAGGTATCCACGTCATTACGTCAATATGTTAAAATCCTCTGCATGATTATACCATGTCAACTGCTATACGCACCAAGACTAAGCCCTAAGATACATAGTACGATAAATTATAAGGACTAAAAAACTTCATAAACCAGTCATGATAAAAGTTTCTGAAGTTCATAAAGTTTGTCACATCTTTTATTTCAGGATAAGGCCTCAGAATACATGTCAATTAACTGATTCCAGTGTAGCATTAAGTAGTTCTTACATTAATCATTATAATTCTTATGACTAAGTCCATCACAAATTCAATCTCTAAAAGGAATCTCTAGAAACATCTTCTTCCCCTGGCCAACCAACAAATGTCTAGCCCTATCTTGCAAACAGTCTTCAATGACAGTAATTGCAACATGTGCCTTCATTCCAGCATTTTCTAAATCTGAATCAGAAGTCTATGATATATTCTATAAATGAAAAATCTTGCATAACATGTACAACTCACAGTTCTTTTTTCCATCAAAAACAAAATTCACATTGGAAAGAAGCATCAAGTTCAGCATGCTAACTGAATTATCATAAAACCGGATAGTTAAATTTAGTCAAAGAGGTTAATCATCAACTTATTTCTACAAAGATCCACACAGCTCTATGGGTCCATCAGCATTTTCAGAATCCATAGTGAAATGAATAAGAGTCTATGAGAACAACTTTAGAAATCTGTAAAAAATGACAGCTAATATGTAATAAAGTTTTGAAAATAGGAACATCTCATGATGCAATGTCAAAAAGAACAATGCAATGTCCATATTTCTGAAAAGAGAGACTACATCTTCCTAGTTCCAATCTACATTCTGATATTTAATTCCAGCATCAGGACACAAGAGAATAAATCTTCCCACTATTCCTCCTCAATGACTATATTACCCGAAGTGGTAAACCTATTCCTTAATAATCCCAGCATCAACTATTGCAATGTCAAAAAGAACAATTCAATAACCTATCTTCTGAAATTTATTGTGACCACCGCGACACAGGACAATAGTCTTCTCATTGATTCCCAATATTCTAGATTTGTTCCTCCCCAATAGGAAACCTTCTGTGCGGTACTTCTCAGGACCTAGACTCTCCCAGGCCTAACCACGGCTCGTTCTCAACAAAACATATTACCAGAAGGAAGAAACACGAAGAGAGACTAATAGTAGATAACGGAGATAGAGAAGACCTAATCGAACCGTAGAGACGAGAAGGCGAACAATACCAGGCGGCCGTACATGGCGATAGGGAAATCGCAACGCACGCAGAAGTGAACCCGCTCGCCGAGGTTGCGCCGGGAGCGGCGGCCGACGGTTCGGACGGCTGCGGAGGAGGTGACGGCGCCGAGGCTCTTGGCCACCGGGAGGCCGGCGATGTTGAGGTGGTCGGGGCACGCCACCGTCACCGTGTTCGCCAGCGGGTGAGGCTTCACCGACGCTCCGCCGCCGTCCCCCGCCGATACCTTCCGCAGTCGAATCTGCAGCATCGTCCTCTGCCGCTCTCCTCCCTCGCGATTACGAGTTCGATTGATTCCGGTATGGGTGATTGATGATTCAGGTTTAGTTTCATCTATATAACGTGAGAGAGAACTTTGCACGTGAAATGCACGTGAATGAGAGTTACTATTGGATTCGGATTTGGACGATTAGGATATGTTCGGATTCGACTCGGATTTGGTCGGATTCGATCTAGCCGATGACCACTAATTCGTGCCGGCCGTGACCGACCCAATCCACTGGAGCTAACCACGTGGCAGCATTCGAGCGGACCTCGCAGGGGTGTGCCTTCCGTCGCATCCCCTCCACACGCCCTCTTCTTCCTCTTCTTCTTCTTCTTCCCCAGACTGGCCTCTCTTCGCGCATCGGCTGTTTCCTCTCTCCTCAATGGCTCCCTCCACCACCTCATCATCCTCCACGTCCCTCTTCTCCCCCCTCTCCCCTCTCCAAACCCCACCCCGATACAAACATACAAATCCCTCGGATCTACGCCTAGGGTTTCGTCGCATCAGCTTCTTCCCCAATTCAAGAACCCTAATCCCAGTCCCACCCCCCCAAAGGAGTCCTCGCTCGGATCCGATACGCGCCGTGCAAACCGACCGCAAACCCAGCCGCTCCCCCAACGACGGTGGCGGCAAGGAGGACGGCGACCCCATCGAGCGGTTCTTGAAGCGGGACTACTCACAGTGGGGCTTTGTTTCTGACATCGAGTCTGTCTCGATCCCCAAGGGCCTTGATGAGGGCACCGTACGCCTAATCTCCGCCAAGAAGGGCGAGCCTGACTGGATGCTCCAGTTCCGCCTCCGCGCCTTCCGCCGCTTCCAGGCCATGCGCGAGCCGCAGTGGTCGGACAACCGCTACCCACCCATCGACCTCCAGTCCATCTGCTACTACTCCGAGCCCAAGCGGAAGCCCAAGCTTGGTAGTCTCGACGAGGTCGACCCGAAGCTCCTCGAGACCTTTGACCGCCTCGGCATCCCCCTCAACGAGCAGAAGCGCCTCGCCAACGTCGCAGTTGACGCCGTCATCGACTCCACCTCCATCGCCACCACACACCGTGCCGCCCTCGCTGAGAAAGGCGTCATATTTTGCTCCATCTCTGAGGCAATCAGGGAGTACCCAGACCTCGTCCGTCGTTACCTGGGCGAGGTCGTCCCCCCGGGGGATAACTACTATGCCGCCCTCAATTCTGCTGTCTTCAGTGACGGTTCCTTCTGCTACATCCCCAAGGACACTGTGAGCCCCATGGAAATTTCCACCTACTTCCGTATTAACGACCGGGAGACTGGACAGTTCGAGAGGACTCTGATCATCGCTGATGAACGGAGCTATGTGAGCTACTTGGAAGGCTGCACGGCGCCTTCCTATGATAAGAACCAGCTACATGCTGCGGTGGTGGAGCTTTACTGTCATGAGGGGGCCGAGATCAAGTACTCCACTGTGCAGAACTGGTATGCTGGGGATGAGCAAGGCATCGGTGGGATCTACAATTTTGTGACAAAGAGGGGGCTTTGTCAAGGTAAAGGGTCTAAAATTTCTTGGACACAGGTGGAAACTGGGTCCGCAATAACATGGAAGTACCCCAGCGTAATTCTGAGGGGGGACGACACAGTAGGTGAGTTTTACTCGGTAGCACTGACAAAGGATTTTCAGCAAGCAGATACAGGAACAAAGATGATTCATCAGGGGAAGAATACTAGGAGTCGAATAGTCTCCAAGGGCATATCTGCTGGGAAGTCGAGGAATTGTTACCGGGGGCTTGTTAAGGTCCAGCCTGATGCAGAAAATGCTCGTAACTTTTCACAATGTGATTCTATGCTTATTGGTGACACAGCTGGTGCAAACACATATCCCTACATAGAGGTAAGCTGCCTATTTATCGTTATAGATTGGCTTATCATGTCTTGTTTATATTTATTATGACCTGTAATTTTTCTCCTTAATGTGAGATGCTGGATCAAGTTTCCTTTTTTTCTGCAAGGCCAAGCAATTTTGGTCCCTTCAAAGAATTGGAGTTACTAATCTTTTTCTTTGAACTTCCATAAGAATTAGGTGATACCTTTAAACTCTGCAGACATGCATGCGATAGACTTTAAATGGATCTATCTGGTTGATGTTTAATGCAGTTATGGTTATGCATTTATGATTTGCATCTACATGAGAGTTGTGAGTCTACTTGCAAGTCGACAATTTAGAAATTTTGCTTTAATAGTGGAGCCTGGCCTATATTTTCCAAATTGTTCTGATTAAAGTGACTTGCTTAATGTGGTCAATGACAATAAATTATGGTGCATAGACAAATATATGCAACCAGAAAAAGGAAATTGGATATGGTTGTTTAGTAAACAAGAACTGATTTTTTTTATAAATTTTTTATACACATTTTGACACAAAACATAAAGAAGACAATTGGTTAAGGTTATTGAAATTATTCATGCTAGTAACTGATGAGAACATCTGTATGTCTTACTTAGGTTATTTCTAAGTAAAAATGTTTAATGGTGGTAGTGCTTCTAGTGTGATGCATTTTTATTATTTTCTTTTATTGAGCATTATGTAAGCACTTAATTACATGCAGACATCAAAATATACATATGTATTCTATGTGTTTAATTCTCACATCTTCATTGATTTGGTTAGTTTGCAGGAGCAAAATGTGTGTATCATGAACATAGTTCATAAGATTAGGCTTATATCAGTTAGGGACAATATTTTCGAGGTTGGTCAGATCAGATCAGCATGATTAAGATTGACCTAAAAATAATTTTAAAAAATAAAATATGATAAAAATAAGAAATATTATATGCTGAAAGATTTTAACTGCATAGTTAATAAGATATCTAACTTTAAGAATTACAAAATTAAAAATATCAAAGATAATATATATATAAGAGGATGAAAAGTAATGATCAAAATGCAACTTTGTCAGAAGATAATATTAATTGTATTGTATAAAGACATCATCATAGTAATTAACCAGTTACACAAAAAGATGTCATGTATGTATGCCATACAAAGATGAAGGAGAAAAAGACACTTGTGTATATGACTTGAAATAGATGCCATTATTGTGTTTGCTGCCAATTACAACAGGAAAGGAGATAGCAAGAGAAGTGGTGAATAGAATCTGACGCTCTACTAACTATGTTTTTATTTGCTTCTCAAGAGACTTGTCCTTTAGACCTTTTGGTGGTCAGTGTGGTCAATAGAATTGGTTGAATGCTAAATTATGAATTTGTGATCGGCCAAAGCAACATAGTCAGATGTTAATTGGTTAGAGATTGAGATTACGTGTTTTTATAGACTTGTTGTCTTCATTATTTTATGGGGTTTTATTAGGTTTGGTTTTAACCACACAAAATATCTTCTGAACCTGCTAAATTCTTATTTATGCTTGTGCCACCATTGTTTTGGATATTTTTTCCTTAGATATATCTGCTGTCTTAGCAGTTGTAGAACATGTGTTTGTTAGCAAATCCTTTGGAAGTATTACCCAGATGGTACTTCTTTTTTTATTTCAAAAACTCCACAGAGATCTGTATTCTTTAATTAATGGTCCCAATACCTGTGGGATTTTTGACAAAACCATTTTTTGGAAATGTTAATACATACGAAATTCATTCCATTGCCCGTTGGCTACAACAGTCATTTTGATTAGTGCGCAACAGATTTTCTGTTAGGTTATATCGAGGTCATCTGGTATTCTGCATTAAGGTGCTTGTGTTCTATGCATTTTTATGAGGCTGTTGTCTTTTCATTAGAATTTTGATTAATGTATATACATATATATGGCTGTTCCTCATAGTAACAGTGAAGAGTTTCAATTTTGTTACTTTACAGTTGAAGTTTTATATATCCATGTGCATTTATGCTTTGTATCCTTAGCATTTCTGGTGATGAGTAAATATGGATTGCACTTGATCCTTGAGGAAAATAGCTAATGACTACTTGCTATTTCTCTTAAGCCAATTGATTTGATTGAGTAAGCAATGTTTGTCACCTTTACAATTAAGCTCTACATATCCATGGGCATTTATGCATATAACTTTAGCATTTATGTTAAAGAGCAAATGTTGATTGCACTAGATCTTTGAGGAAAAAAAGACAATAGATAATGGCTTCTATTTATAGATCGATTTGGCATCGGTTTGATCAATCTTGATTGTGAATCGACCTTCTTATTTGTACCTACTCTTGCTAGATTATTTGTACCAATTGGCATCTGTTTAATAGTTCTTGATTGCGTGATTAACTTCCATCTTTGTATATACAGTTTCCAGATTATATGTATCATTAAACAACATACTTTCCATGTCTGTAAATTTAGTCAATTGCTTATATTGATAAGTTGACTGTGCATCGACCAGGTAAAGAACCCTACAGCCTGTGTTGAGCATGAAGCAAGCACTTCGAAGATAGGCGAAGATCAGCTCTTCTATTTTCAGCAAAGGGGGATTGATCACGAAAAGGCCGTAGCTGCAATGATAGGTGGATTCTGCAGGGATGTTTTCGACAAGCTCCCCCTCGAGTTTGCCTCTGAGGTGAATGCACTCATGAACTTGAAATTAGAGGGGTCTGTTGGGTAAATATCCTCGTCTCTTAGCGGAACAAAAAGTCAGGACTTCTTGTATACTGTATAGCTTGATAAAAAAGCAGGGTGACTTATGGCACAGAAGTCAATATCGAATGCCCTCTTTATTTTGTTCTTCATACGAGATGACCACGTCGATGATAAATCCAAGCTCAATGTACCTTCTGTTTGGAGATGAGAATGTTGCTCACAAGATTCTACCTGTTTTCCCAGTAAAGATCAGAGCTTTCCGTATCCTCTCAGCTCAAGGGAGATCTGGATCTTAGCCTTTTGTTTTCAGGTATGGATTCTCATCAAGTCTGTTCATCAGCAAGTGATTCATGCACGGTGAAAGTAAGAGGAATTTAGGCCTTGGATGCCTTAAATGATGCTTCAAATATTCAATTGTTGTGTTTGACTACTGTTGCGTTTAATGCGAGCCTAATAAAACCTCTGTGGATTGATCCCTTCACAATTATGCTTCTCTTCTTACATGGTGATGGCTCTTCTTCTTCTGCTAAGAAGCACACAAGGGGGAAGTCCAGCTACGAGAAAGCGTGAGAACATACATGGGAAGTGGAATGACTGAGGCTGAACTGGGAACACGTGGAGAAAGATTAGATTAATCCATGTGTTCTTGAGTCAACTAAATGGTAGGATTAATTGCCTCCTTCGATTTGCTTAATGGCATTGGCGTGGAGTAAGAGACGGTGTGCAAGATTCATGACAATAACTGTGATACCATTGTGCACGCCACTTCTGCTTCGAGGTTGTCGACAGATGTAGATGTCGGGAGGATCCGAAGGGTAATTTTTGGGTCAACAAACGACTTCCAGTCCTCATCTTTTTATCATCGTTTTTTTTTTCATCTACAATAGTTTTGGGTCATCTTTTTTATCATCATTAATTAAAATATTAAAATTATAATTTTTTATTTATTATTTTCGTAAGATAAAATCAATGATATTAGAATAAATTAAGTTAGATTTTTCACCTTCATAATTATAGGGATTTATAGCTATATAAATTTTAATATAAATTTTTAAATCTAAAGATCGAAATATTAAGATCTAACTACTGTGGTAATCTATAATTAACCCCCACTCTCACTTGATGTCTAAAGATATGAAAGGCCATTTTTTGGGAAAGCTTAAGCTTATGATTTTTTTTTTTTATAACATCTCTTATTTCCAAAATATTAGAAGAGAGGTTTTCCTTTTTTACATGGTGAAAATATCCTCACTGCGAGGAGGTAGTTTTAGCTTTTGAGTTTTCTGTCGAAATTTAAATAGACCGAACCAATAAAACCAATTGTAGTGTTTTTGAATAGGGTTATATCGTTTTGTTATTACTAAATTAAAAATACTTTAGTCCTATTTAAGATCATTTCCGTTTTTAAGTAATTCAATTTTTTACAAACATAAACTATTTTATCTGAGAGTTTTTAAGTGCTGTTGAGTGAAAATTAAGAATATTTTTATATATTTCAAAATAAAGGATGACAACTCTAACTCTATTCAAGAAAAAAAAAATCCGTAGAAACTAAATTTTAGTAGGGAATCCTTTTTTAACGGTGTTTTGATTTTTTTTTTCTTAAAGAAAATATAGAAAAAAAATATCATAATCTGAAGGAAAAAAGAAAACTAAAACCTCGGAGCTTTTCCTAAGAAGTAGGCCAGTGAAGAAACTACAGATGCCAAACGTTAGATGTTTCTTCTGCAAGAAAGCATCACCTGATGCACACTCGATGCCACTTACATTGTCAAGGAGGGTTTCTTGATGGCTTCAGAAGCTGTCAACCTTAACCCTGTCCCTAATGCCTACAGGTCAACTCAATCCATCCACATACAGCAGTGAAGAATGATTCCTTTGGTACTGAATTCTCCGATACCGATCTACCGTAGGATGCTGCACAGTTACCAACAAGGCAATGGTGGGGTAAAAGTCCATTCTGATCACCACTGAAAGGAGAAGAGAATTAGACACTACCACTCGATGCAGAAGCAAAGGCAATCTATTCTGACAGCACACATAGCCAGCTAGCCATGAGCAATGGTAAAAATTCATGGAAGGTTTTTGACTTCATCGAAGGGAATAAACAAAGTCAAGCTGTAGAACGGAGGGAGGGTGAGATCCCCAGATCAGTCCAGTGCTTCATGATGGAGAGAGAATGAATAGAAAACTGAGGCCAATGTGTGAGCTCTTCCCCCCAACTTCCTCTGCACTGGAATCCAAAGCATTGTCTGCTCCCACGAGGCATCAGCTAACACAGCAGCTATTTTCTATCTCAGTCCCTGAAGCTTCCCCAGCTTTCCATATAACATCGAAGACTTTGAAGCCAGCATTAATATAAGCTCATCATAAGCTTTCTGAGTAGAAAATGCCCTTCAAGAATTATCATGGGATATCAACTCGACAGAGAGAAACTTTCAGTTCTTGCTGATGCTTAGCCCACCACCAGTCCTTCCTGAGTTGATCAAAGAGGAGAAGAAATTGCAGCTGATACAGCCAATCCTGAGCTTAAATCTGTATGCACCATGTGCTTCATTGCATCAGTAACCTCACTGTGCTCAGGTCACTCTGCAGTAAGATTGCAAGGAGGCCAAGTAAGTTCTATGAAGAGTGACTCTAAATGGTGGCAGATTCGAGGTGTGGAATTTAATTGCTGCACTAACGACAGTAGAGCTGACCTTTATCACGAGCATCCCATCCGGTGCATGTGAGATCATTAAGTGCACTCGAATCACTATGATTAGAGGTAGAAAGATATCCCCAGCACTAATCACCAAGCACCGACTGCAATTAACTCCATTGACTTCCGAGTTCTCTTTCACCCGGACGCTTGCTATAAATGGAGGCGATACCTGAACGAGTTACTCCTCAGCTCCTCTCTGCAAGTGGCGTGTGCAGCTCTGCACGAGACCATGAGCAGCTCAATGGCTCCTCTCCTCCTCGCTCTGCTGTTGGCTTTCGTGGCTAGAGGCCACGCCGACCTATACGGCAACCCCACGCCGCCGGCTCAACCGCCGTCGAGAGTGGCCGGAAAGAAGTTCCCCCCGGACGAGTTCATCTGCAACAGCCCCAACAGCGACTGCTTCGGCGCCAACATCACCTGCCCCGATCAGTGCCCGTCCTTCCGGCCGGCCAACCCCAATGAGAAGGCTTGCTTCATCGACTGCAACAATCCCACCTGCGAGGCTGTCTGTGGAAGTAAGCGCATTAGCACTGCATGCATAGTTGTACCACTTTGGATGCTGACCTGATCTCCTCTTGTTGGGTATGCAGCCAGGAAGCCGGACTGCAACCTGCCTGGTTCAGGGTGCAAGGACCCGAGGTTCGTCGGCGGCGATGGCATCGTGTTCTACTTCCGCGGCAAGGCGAACCAGCACTTCACGCTCGTCTCCGACGCCGGCTTCCAAATCAATGCCCGCTTCATCGGCCTCCGCCCCGCCGGCCGCCGACACGACTACACGTGGATCCAGTCCCTCGGCATCCTCTTCGGCAAGCACACCGTCACCGTCTCCGCCACCCCCGCTGCCGCCTGGGACCGCAGCGCCGACCACCTCTCCTTCACCTTCGACGGCGAGCCCTTCGACCTCGGCATCGGCCACCTCTCCTCCTGGTCCTCGCCTGCCGCGGGCGACCTCCTCGTGGAGCGCACCGCCTCCGTCAACAGCGTGATCGTGGTCCTCCCCGGGTCGTTCGAGATCAGGGCGACGGTCGTCCCCGTGACAAAAGAGGACGACAGGATCCACAAGTACAACGTTCCCGCCGACGACTGCTTCGCCCACTTGGACGTGCAGTTCAAGTTCTTTGGGCTGTCGGAGCGGGTGGAGGGCGTGCTGGGGCAGACTTACCAGCCCAACTTCCAGAATCCGGTGAAGAGGGGGGTGCCGATGCCGATCATGGGCGGCGAGGACCGCTACTTCACCTCCTCTCTGCTGGCCACCGACTGCAAGCGCTGCATCTTCTCGCCGGAGGTGCCGGTGGCGTCTGAGGTGGTCGACGCTTCTGCTGCCTCCTTCGACTGCACCAGCAAGATGAGCCATGGATATGGGATAGTCTGCAGGAGGTGAGAGCGTGAGATCATACGAGGAAGAAGAGAGGAGGAGACACTGAAGGACGGAGAAGGGGGTTTAGTATGAATAATAAGGTGGCATGGTGTTGCTGTTGAGAGCAGTAGTAGCAGCAGCAGCTCATGCAGCATAGAATCTTAGTCTACATAAAAAGATTGATCAGTATTATGTGATGATACCAAGTGTTTATGCATTATATATTATGTTTGAGAATTGTGAGGTATGATGTGGAGCAACTGCTCCTGTACTTTGCTATTGATTAATAAAGTGTTTAAGGACCTAATTACACATTATAAGTTCATTAATATATGATTTATATCAACACATGATACACAAAATTTAAAACCTTGCATTAATTTAACACCACAACTCTCAGCACTCTGCTTTTTCTGAAACTTAAAAATAAAAAAATATTTTGTTCTGGTTTTTTTTTTTTTGGAGAAAAAAAGAAACTTGCAAAGATCTGATTAAGGCCATGATCAGTGATCCAAGCACATAGTAATAATCAAATGGTAATTGTTGGTAACTTCTTGGCAAAACTATTCAGCAAAGAAAAAAAATTGTTTCCTACTGCATTGTTGTTTCAAGTAAGAACTAGTTGTTGATCAAGGATTTAGAATGCATGAGTCATGTGCAGCCTCTCAAAACCAATTAGTAGACAAAGAGGTTAATATGAAGTACTCTGGAAAAAAGAAAAAGTTTATTGATGATCACATCCTGTTATAAAAATGTCCACAGAGATAGAGCATAAAATAGGTAACAGTTCTGTAGGAACAGTATCAACACAGATGCTTCCATACATCCCCACCCCCTCCTCTCCTCTCTTGTAGTACCCCATTTACCTTGCCAATTGTTGCAGAATTGAACTCCTCATAGCTATGCTGAAAAACATGACATAAAACTCTCAAGACAGATAAGGTAGCCAATTCAAGCATGTTTTGTTCCTGTATTTTTAATTCCATTCTAGGATTTTAATTAATCATACAATTATGATGGAGTGTAATTTAACAAATACAATGGTTCAGACAAGCAAGGAGAAGGATACAAATATGACAAAACTTTGTACCGACTGAAATCAGTGGATAGCCCTAAAAGTATCTGGGATTAGCTACAATAATTATAGGTTTAAAAGTCATATGCCAACTATTGATTTGGAATCCAATGAACTTTGCTCCAAAGTTTAAAGACAAATTGTAGTTTATCCCTAATGCCCCATGTATGTATCCTGTTTATGCTGCTAACATTGTGCTTTGTATTCAGCTTATGGGTCCACATACAATTATTCCGACTACTATTTCACTCACAACGGGGGTATTGAACAAGTTTTTCATAATGCTAGGGCTAATAGTTACACTGGACCTTTAAGGCATGAAAACAAATATGCAATCTCAAATTACATTCACAATGGTCTCCTAATTGTTTTCAGATAAACTGAAAAATGGAACTACAAAGTAAATAAACTTACACAAGAAAGAAAACAGGATCAATGAAGTTCAGTATACTTTGGTCCAGGTAGCTGGGACCATAAACATCCTTATATCACAAGTCAGGTCTTTTATTCCTTATGAGCATAATGTGTGAGCCTAATGCAAACAGTAATACATAGGGAAATGGAGATAATAATAATAATAATAATAATAATAATAATAATAATAATAATAATAATAATAATAATAATAATAATAATTAGAGCACAGTCAATGTGAAAATTCAACAAGATTCAATTCAAAGAAGCAAACAAGTATCATAAAAAGAAAGTACATCCATGCAACCAAGACATTCAAGGAAATTACATCACAATTTTGGTTGTTGATTGTGTATATTATTATCTTTTTCTTTCTATTTTTCTTTTTACATCTGGCAAACTTTCTTTTAGTCGAAATAACATATTTTACCTTTTTAACTTGGCCTCATGATGCCTGAAAGGGATGCCCTCATCTTCAATACCTAGCATATGTCTAGGTTGATCAAAATGTCCAATAGGTTAAAATGCATAATGAGATAAAATTCAATTGCTACCATTTCACATAAGCTTTATACACAGGATGATCATCTGCATGTTATCAAATCTTTAAAAAATATATATAATATATAGCACACCAAATGGATAGCATATTATTTCAATGTCCTCGAGTATTCAGGGTTTGAGCACTCAAGACGACAAACGTTGGAAACTTTGACTCACCCAAGTTGAGTGAACATTCAACTTGATCGACTGTCAGTCCATGGAGTAACTTTTCAGGTTCCCCTGTTTTAATAGTTGTTGTGAACCTGAAATCTATAGACTCAAAGGGAAACAGAAATGTGGTCCGGAGACAACGCAAAATGTTAATAATTAAAAAAGAATATGTACCTCTATATTTTGGCATCTGTTTGTTCAGCATATTGTTGAAGCATCATTCCCAATATGAAGACTTTTGTCACTTTGCCAAATAATATCACCAGATCATATAATTGAAATGAACAGTGTTTTTTCATCAAAATGGACTTGACATATTCAAAGTATCATTCTGAGAGTTTAGCTTGGCTTCTTGCATCAATTTGTAGACATTCCTAGCAATCAGACCTCTCTCAATGGCATGGCTCCAGAGTAAATCTAGAATGCCACTATCATTTGCAAGTGAAGCACAGAGTGACTTGTAAATTTTAGCTGTTATTATCAATTGCTTCTTAACCATTTCATTTAGTATCTCACAAGCTGCGATCCGCTTTCCTGTGCTCAAGTAAGCATATGCAAGACTAGCATACACAAGACTATCACCTAATAAACCTTTTTCTAGCATTTTGTTGAATGCCTTCTGTGCAAAATCAACTAAACCTCGTTTGCATAGTCTTCTTATTAGAGCTCTATATAACGACTTATCCACAGAAAGACCTCTATGTGCTATCTCATCTGGGATGCTTAGCACGGCCTCCACATTGTTCAGGCTGCAGTAACTATCTACAAGCCATGAGTAAGTACTGTAGTTTGGTGCAAAACCTGCATGTAGTGGATCAGCAAGCAAATTATCATAGAGGATTAAACAAGGGATGCTAGCACCAATGTAAATTTTCTTCAAAGGGTGAAAAGCACTGAAATAGTAAATGTGAATGCAGATGAAAGTTAAAAAATATCAGACTGCTACACAAGAAGCACAATTACATTACCAAAAGGAGATATTGACAGTCTAGCAAGTCAAGCTATTAACTCACAAACCAGCTATTGGCCTAGTGGTTAATACACCTCTTACTCACGAAGTGGTGCTGTGCTAACTCTAGGAAGGTGGTTCATCTAAAATATGATTTAGATAAAATCTAATTTAATTTGCCAAGATGCATCTAAAAACAAACCCCCTAATACAAGAGATGCACCATGTCATACTTACCAGGCATCTGCTAAGGAAAAATATGAAAAGTATAACTGATGCTACTGATTATAAATAAAAAGTGTATCCGGTATAAACATCAAATATCATATGTGCATCACAAAAACCAAATACAATATAGACATCAAAAACATCAAATATCATACATACATCACTTGTTCAATCTTACTTGGATTCTTACTAACATCAAATATTATACAGCAAGTCTTGTTCCATTAAGTAAGCACTGCTGGAGTTGCAAACAATTTGAACCTTATCTGGTTGAGTTTACAAAACAAACATATTTTACCACTCATGTTATTCTTACTTTTCTTTTTCCTCCTGCCAATTAGTAATCAGTTTATGAGTTAAATAGATCACAATTGATAATGTACAATAGAGTCTGATATACCTGCATCCAGCATGTCTAGGAGGACTTCCTTAGCCTCGTCTAGTTCCTGAACCTTGCAGAATCCATGTATTAGGGCCTTGTATGTAAACTGGTCTAGCACTTGCCCTGATTCCAACATCTTGTTCCTAAGCTTCCATGCAAAATCCATATTTCCTCTCTTGCAATATGCATTAATCAAGGTGTTGCACGTGACATTATCAGGTTGAACCCTTCGATCATCCATCTCATTCAGGAGATCATTAACAGCCCTCATTTTGCCTTCTTCACATAGCTTACGGATGATTGCATTATATGTAGCCACCCCAGGATACATTCCTTTTGCCTCCATCTCTTCACGCAATCTAAGCCCTTCGTCGAGGTCATTAACTCTGCAGTAGCCATCAATAAGAGTAGTGTAGGTCACTTGGTTTGGAGCTGCACCTTTGATTTCCTTAAAAAGCCTCGAGGCTTCCCTCATTCTACCGTCTTTACAGAATCCATAGATAAGAGAATTATAAGTTACAATATCGGGATGAATTCCTTCCTTCTCCATTCTCTCCTGAACAGCCAAAGCCTCATAGTGCATGCCCTTCTTGCAATATAATGAGATCAAGGTGTTATAGGTGAACAAATCAGGACGTACCACCTTCCCATCCATCTCACTGACCAACTTCTCAGCCTTCTCAGTGTCACCCGACTTGAAACAAACATGGATCATGACATTGAGAATGTGGACATTGGCAACAACCCCCATGCGGAGGATGTCGTCGTATACATTCCAAGCTGTGGCTGTCAGTCTTGCCTTGGCTAGCGCGCTCAAGAGGGCACTGCAAGCATGTGGATCAAGCCTCAGTCCACGAGATTTCATCAGCTCAAGTATCTGGATTGCATCATGCGTCTTGTTCGACCGGGAGTAGATGAACACCAGCCAACTCAGGATCTGCGAATTCGAGTCTTGATCGCCATGATCGCTCAGCAACGCACTCAACACCGTCGGCGACGAGAGGAACCCCTTAAACGCGAACTTCTGGAGCAAGTTCCGCGCTTCTTGGAATCGCCTGCTCCTGGTGAGGAGGTGTACCATGGTGAAGTTGGTTGGGAGGGAATGGTGGTAGTGGGGAATAGACTGCGCCCACTTGAAGAAATTCCAGGAGAGGGCGGTGTCGGCGGACAGCTGAAGCAGGATCTGGTGCACATTGGAGGTGGTGAAGCGATCGCTGACACGGGGGAGCCACAGGGTACACCAATTCCCCTTTGAGACAATTGCGCAAACACCTTGAATGAATGCCGCCTCGTTCCTTCCGTGCGAAATGCCGCCCATCTCAAGACGACCGGCCAAAGAAATCGCTTCAATTCCACTGGCGACGAGGTCGCGTTAAGCGCCACCGCATCTCTGCCTTTCGATTTGCACAGGTGACGCTGTGGAGGTCGCCAACTTTCCGACGCAGTCTCCCACCCGCGACCAGCCTGCCTTGTCGCGTGCATGTGCGCATGCCAAATCCTAATCTATTCATATGAATATGTTGTTCGCATTGATGTGGCATATATGCGATAGCTAATAATTACAAGATCATATTATTATTATTATTACGGTCTCTATACTGAAATTTTTTTGATAATTCTGAAAATAAAATAAATAATCTTATTTAGTTATATTAATAAAACTATAATATCTGACACTTGGATCGGTACGAAAGTGATAGACAAAAAAATAATTTCAATATTCGTTTCATTTCTAAGGGATGTTAAAATTAACTTTTTTATCGATAAAATTATTATAAATAAAAGATATATTAAAATTATCTTTTTATCCATTACTTTTTTATCGATCCAATATGTTGTGTTGTTCTATCAATGCAACGGATGATATTAAGACAAATGAGATTACTTATTTTACTTTTAAAACTATAAAGATCTTAATATAAATTTTTTAAGTAAAAAGATCACAATATTAATAGAGTCTAAGTACAGGAGATAATATATAATTAGCCCCCTAATATCCCACATATTTAGGATATATTTTTTATGATATTTATATTTTTATTTATAATTTTAAATAATATTTCCTCCTATACTAATTATCTCATTTCTCTAAGCTTAAGTATCTATAAATCTTCTTAGCAGTCCTCTATTATGTCACCATTTTTTTTATTTTGTAACTCAATATATCCATCATCATATACTTATGTTGGAAATACTAAATACATTTATTTAATAGTCTAATATAAATTCATAAAGGGTTGAAAATTCAAGGTATTAACTTACTTGATTGGTACATATTTTGTCAAGATCCAATAGTTATTGGATACTTATATTTCATGAAAGCATCCCTGTTTTAACAATTATCCCACATTTTAGTCTGTGAATAATACGTATATGTCGAGAAAAATTGATTTGTCAGAAAAAAAAAAAAACACCCTAAATTATCAAGCAACGAATGAGTAAAAATTTCAACAGAAATTTCCACGCATGAACAAGAAAAATTATCAGAGAAACTTTGAAGGAAGACCAAATGCTATCTGCAACACAAGTTTGTCACGTAATCCATAGTAATATATCCTCGTAAAGATTTCCTTTCTTCTGGATGCAACTCAGGTCTCATCGTCAGACCAGTCGAAAACGAGGACGAGAAGCCTCCAAAGGAAACGATGACGAAGTCTTATATTGCATATGAATGAAGCGAAGTCAAGCTTGGAAACCCACGAAGCTTTTAGCCGCCAAACAAGCTTACATAACCCCTCCTCATTGCATGCCGTCGACTTCATCCTTGGCCTTGAGATGGCTGAGCCCCACAGAATCCACCCGGCTGCGGTGGACGTCGAATCTCCACTTCCGTCGCCGTCGCAAGCCGCAAAGAGCGGTGAGAACGACCAACAGCAGCCAAAGAGTTCGAGGAGGAGGAGGAGGAGCCGATGCTGCAGGTGCCTGTGCTGCACGGCCCTCACCCTTGTCGTCCTCATCATAGCCATTGGCGCCACTGTCGGCATCCTGTACCTCGTCTTCCGCCCCAAGATCCCCAAGTACTCCGTCGACCGTCTCACCCTCTCCAACTTCACCGTCGACGACGACACGACCATCAGCGCCACCTTCAACTTGACGGTCACCGCGAGGAACCCCAACAGGCGGATCGGCATCTACTACGGGCACGGCAGCCACCTGAGTGCGTGGTACAACGGCACCAGGCTGTGTACCGGAGCCTTCCCCGTGTTCTACCAGGGCCACCGGAACACGACGGTGGTGAGCCTGTTGCTCGCGGGGGAGACGCAGCTGGGCAGCGGGCTGCTGCAGGAGCTGCAGCAGCAGCAGCAGCAGACGGGGACGGTACTGCTGGACTTCAGGGGAAGTGTGCCGGTGAGGGTGAAGCTAGGGAGGCTGAAGCTTCCGAAGGTGAGCTTCAAGGTGAGGTGCAACATCGTGGTGAACAGCTTGAGTAGCAGCAACAGCATCAGCCTCAGATCAAGCCACTGCAAGTTCAAGTTGAAGCTCTGATTCCTTTCCTTCTCACATCTCGACTTCTCTCTTTGTATCATCTACCAATTTATGTCATTTGTATCAGAAGATGTTGCATGCAGACATGTTAAAGCATATGCATGCACGGTCTGAACATGCCTAGCCATTAGCTCAGTTTATTTGCATTTGATCATTGATAGTATATTCCAATGTATCTTAAAATTATCATTGGAGTTGATGAGAATTTTAAGATTATAAAAGAGAGAAGGAAAGAAGATTGTTACTTGAAACAAAGTTGGGTCATGCATGTAGTCTAAATCCAACAAAGCCTAAGGAATGCTTTGGCCAACACATGAAACTTCATGCGTTGACCTCCTTAGATATCATGTGAATATCCTTCAAAGTTCTCATTGATATATTATTTTAATTTTTTGTTTTAAATTGGTAGATAAGACATAATATTTTGATTTATGTGTTTATTATGTTAAATATTTTTCATCAATCAAAACCTGTCAAAGTCAATCTAAGTTGTATCAAAATAAACTGACAGCATACTAAATCTTAGCTACAATATTTTCTAAATCAAATATGGTGTAATGAATCTTTCCTAATTGCATACGATTATGGCCACAACACTAAAATAGAGGTCAACTCAAATAGGATATTAGTACTCTCTTTATTATGCACTTAATATTATTCTTCCACCTCGGATAATTATTAATGTCTAGTTTTACAGAAATCTCCTATGTCAAATCATTAAGAGTTTAAAATTTAAAGATAATTTTTCTTAAGAAAATCGAGTTAGGTCAAGTCAATCTCAAGTACATAGTGTTGATGATCAAATTTAATATTATTAATTTTGGACGATATCTATGTAATAATTATGATGATACATGATTATATATATAGTGATTTAAAAAAAAGTTATTTCTTTTCTTTTTGTTCCCAATAGTACCCTCTATTTTTGTTTTGTCCAATATAATATCCCTAATTTATGTAATCTCAAAAATATATTTTCTCTTGTCTTCTTTCATCGTCTTTATCCCAGCTCCCTAGTCATTTCCTGTTACACCCCTTATCTCTCTGTAAGTCTCTGCACTTCTTACAGTACCACTCATCTTCGTAACTCTCTTCCCACCATAACCCCCTTTTGTAATGCCCAAGCAATAATTGCCTCATATTATGTCATCGATAGCAAGTCGTTAGTTACACGACATAGTCAACTCATCGTCGCACGGATAATAACTATATTTTATAGTTATTTACAATTAAAAACTACAAGGCTCATACTGAAAGCCCATGAAGTTTGATAACAAATAGGACTCTATTTGCAGTCCCAAATCCAAATTCACTTTTATTTAAAAATAATAAATATTTAAATATTTTTAATTAAAAAATAGAAGAATTCAAGTAACCTAATCCATTAGTAATTTTTATAAAATATAATAAAAATTTTTCACAACCTTTTATTTATTTGTAATTGTATGACAAGATACCTGATTCTTCCCCATTCAAATGCCTTTAGATCAATAATTTAAGTAGAAAAAAAATGTATCGGACATAAAAAAAGATTCAGTAAAATAACTTATGATCATTGTTTTATAATTATCAATATTAATCCATGAGATATGAAAATATTAGAGATATCCAAAAAATAATCAAATATAATACCTATTATAATATCCAAGTGATACTGTTTTGGTGACAATGAAACTAATTTTGTTTGATTACACTTAATAGGTGCCATAAAGAAGTGACAAAATTGATTGATAAAGCTTCATCCTAAACAATCTAACTTCCACCCCTCATCATCAACCAGATTACTTAATCCACAAAGTACCAGCAAATAGAATGGTAAAGATGAAATTTAAAAATTGTCAATGATAATTAAATAAGAGTTTTTATAAATAGAAATATATCTATGCTTAAATCAATATTATAACAATTAGCTTTGGATATTCTACCAATATAATAAGCATTTGATGATATGATTATTTCCTATTTAAAGGCAAATAAGATTAGAGTTAATAATCAATAAAAAATATCTAACTAGAAAAAATAAGGAGAAAATAAAAAATGACACATGGTTCAAATGCATAAAAATCAATAAAAAAATTTAAAAAAAAATAATAGAAAATCAATGATATATGCTCATAAGTGTCCTATTCAAAGCTTTTGTGAAAAATTTTAAATCATTTTGAATAGTTCATGATGCACTATTTTTTAATTTTTTAAAAAATAATACATCAATTATTAGGAAAAAATTTTTAGACCAATTTTTTTACATATATTATTGACCTATTTAGAAACTCAAATGTAAAAAAGTATTATATGGATATATTATAATTTTTTAGAAATATAAAAATAAGGGAAAAATAACACATTGTTTAGATGATCAAAAATCAAGAAACATACTAAAAAATCTCTAAAATGAAAAACCACATATATCCATAAGTGTCGTAATTAAAACTTTCTAACAATTTTAAATCATTTTAAACGGTGTATCACCTATTAGAAATTTTTTTCTAGAGATAAGTTTCTACACATATTGTTGACCTATATAAAAACTCAAATGTGAAAAAATATTGTATGGATGCATTATAATTTATTAGAAGTATAAAATGAGAAAATAAAAAAATAACACATAGATGATAAAAAAATTCATAAAAATATCAAAAAATTGTCTAAACTATAAAAACTTAATGACATATGTCTATAATTCTCTTATGCATTATAATAAGAGTTTCATGATATGATTATTTTCTATTTAAAGCCAAATGGGATTAGAGTTAACAATTTAATGAAAAATTATCCAACTAGAAAAAAAATGGAGAAAATAAAAAATGACACATGGTTCAAATGCTTAAAAAAAATCATAAAAATACCAAAAAAATTATAAAATAAAAAATCAGTCACATATGTCCATAAGTATCCTATTCAAAGCTTTCCTTAAAATTTCAGATCATTTTGAATAGTGCATCTATGTGATGCACTATTTCATATTTTCTCAAAAATAATACATCACTTATAAGGAAATTTATTTTCTAAACCAAATTTTTTACATATATTATTGACCTATTTAGAACCTCAAATGTGAAAAAATATTATATTAATATATATATATATAATTTATTAAAAATATAAAAAAAACAATAAAAAAAATAAAACATTGATTACATGATCAAATATCAATAAATAAACTAAAATAATACTCTAACATGAAAATCCATATATATCCATAAGAGTCTTGAAATTTTTTCGAAAAAATTCATATCATTTTTAATAGTATATCACCTATTAGAATTTTTTTGTCTAGTGTAAATTTTCTACACATATTGCTGATCTATTTAGAAGTTCAAATATAAAAAAGTATTACATAGATGCATTATAATTTATTACAAATATAAAAAAAAATAAAACACAAATGATCATAAATCCATAAAAATATCAAAAAAAATCTCTAAAAAAAAAAAAAACAATGACATATGGCTATAACTATCTTATTCTAAGATTTTCTTAAAATTTCTGTTCATTTGGAGCAGTGCATTTATATGATGTACTGTTTTTTTTATTTTTCCTCAAAAAAAGTGTATCACCTATTAGAATTTTTTTTTCTAGATCAAATATTATATATATTATTAACCTATTTAGTAGCTCAAATGTAAAAAAATATTATAGGGATGCATTATAATTTGTTAAAAATATAAAATAAGACAAAATAAAAAATAACATGCTGTTCAAATGATCAAAAAATCATAAAAATATCAAAAAAATCTCTAAAATAGAAAAGTAATAACATATGTCCATAAGTGTCCTATTCAAAGTTTTCCTAAAAACTTTCAATCATTTTGACAATGCATCCATGTGATCATTGTTTTTTTTTTCCCCTCAAAAACAAGGCATTTAAACCAAATTTTCTACATATAATGTTAACCTATTTAGAAACTCAAATGTGAAAAAATATTGTATAGATGCATTATAATTTATTTAAAATATATAAAATAAGGATAAAAATGACACACCATTAAGTATAAAAAAATCTTTAAAATATAAAACCAGGGACATATGTCCTTAAGTATCCTATTTAAAGTTTTCTTAAAAATTTAAGATTATTTTGAACAATGCATATATGTGATGCACTATTTTTAAATTTTCCTCAATAACAGTGCATCACCTATTAGAAAAAAAAATTTCCTAGACAAAATTTTCTACATATATTTTTATTCTGTATAAAAATAAAAGCTCAAATATGAAAAATATTGCATTGATACCTTATAATTTTTTAAAAAATAGAAAAAAGGAGAAAATATACAAATAATACCAAAAAATCTCCGAAATAGAAAATCGATAACATATGTCCATAAGTATCCTATTCAAAGCTTTCCTAAAAATTTGAGATCATTTTAAATTGTGCATCTATTTGATACATTGTTTTTAATTTTTTCTCAATAAAATTACATCATTTATTAGATATTTTTTTCTCTGAACCAAAATTTCTACATATATAATGGACCTCTTTAGAGGCTCAAATGTAAAAAAAATATTGCAGTTGATGAATTATAATTATTGAAAATTAAATAAATAAGGTGAAAAATAATGTATTATTCTACACATAGACTTTATTTTTATACAGAATGCTCAAAATATTGATAGGAAAACAACAAGTTTTCATAACACTGTTTAGAATATTAAATATCAATGTGACCCTACAACTCCTGCTACACAATAATTTAAAAGTTCAGATTTTTCTAGCAAATATTTTTTTGGAAATGGAGAGATACCTTAAAAAACCTTCCAAGCTTTGTCACAAACAATGTGACAACAATGGAATATTAAACATCAATACAACTCTAAACACCTAACTATACAATAAACCAAAAGTTCATATGTTTCAACAAATATTTTTATAAAAATAAAAAATATACAGAACAATGCGACAACAATGGAATAGAAGCTTAAAGAAATTAGTATCGCCAGTGATAAAACTCGACTTTAAATACAATAACACAGTTAAAGATGCTTAAAAAGATTTAGAGTGCAATGAAACAACTAAAGGTGAAATAATAATATATATTGTACTATAAAATCACTGATTTAAGTTAAATTAAATTTTTATCCGAGTTAATCATTTGTGAATTCAAGTGATTTTAATACTAATATTTAAATAATTCAAGTGATTTTCTAAAAAATATTAGTGCTGTTGGTTTTTGAAGTTGAGGTGTTCTCAGACCAAAAGAAAGGTCAGGAGTTTTTTTCGAAATTGTCTATTATTTT